CAAATACTCTTAAAGATTATATCGTGATGTTTTTTTCATATGGTGCATGGTCTGTAGTCTGTAGTCAAATTTCACTTGTATAAGTTTTGAAAAAAGTTAGTAGCTTCCAACTACTATCTCAGAGTGACAGTCGATAGTAAAAGTCGAGAGTAAAAAAAAAGTCCACATTTTAAATGAAAAGTCGAGAGTCGAAATGAAACTGATTGTATCAATGAGCCTATATTGTAAGTTGCTTTGTAGCTACGTAATGTTTGCTATTGTTGCTTATTCATATTTCTACTGTTGTAATGTAGAATCGTATTTGCAAGACATTAGACTACTTTTAGCTAATTGTTTGGCTATTCTTATCATTCATGCCTAAATGTGACAATTTTACGTGATTTTAAGACTTGGTGTGGCCAGAGTGGAAATATATTGATGAATCAACACAACATAGAGAATTGCTTTTAAAATTGATCAAGTATGGACGCGATCCCAAGGTCGTCATTGAACAAGTGAACGATGTAGGTGTAATTTTCTCCGACGAGTTTTGCATCGGCAAAGGAAGTAATGAAACCCGTGTTTATCTCGGACTGGGAAAAGATGGATGCGGTAAAGCAGTGAAACGAATACGACGAGATAACAATCTTGCTCTGCAAGAAATCACAATTTTAAATGAAAGCAATGCACAGAAATCGAATTATGTTGTAAATTATTACCACTTAGAAGAAGATACCGGAACTGAATATGTCTATTTGATACTTGACCTATGTGAAGAATCTCTAGAGAGTTTTGTAAAATCTTCTACTTTGGAGGATCTTCAACAATCTCTTCCCAAAATTCTCAAGCAAATTTTAAAAGGATTAGCTGATCTTCATAGTGAACCAAATCCAATTCTTCATCGGAATTTAAAGCCTTCCAATGTTTTCCGAGATGCACAAGGTAAATTTCTGATGGCTGACTTTGGTATTAGCCGAATATTGAAGGATGGCTCTAAGACATATACAAGCAACACTAAAAGGGAAACTGTGTGTTGGATGGCTCCTGAATCATATTATGAAAATAATGAGTCGGTTGATAAAGCATGTTACAAAAAAGAGTCTGATATGATGGTAGGTGTAGAAATGTAACTTTGAATAACTGAATTCAATTTTTGGCGTTTCGTTCACACTTTCACCTTTTCATTGATTTTAGAATGCAGGAATGGTGGCTTATTATGTTGCAACAAAAGGGGAGCATGCTTTTGGAACTGAAAAGAATAGAATGAAAAACTTGTTAGATGGAAACCCTGTAGGATTGAAAGAAATTGGTGATTTTCAACTTAGAGATCTTCTTTCATGGATGCTGCAACATAAACCCGAAGACAGACCATCTGCCAAAAAAGCGTTAAAACATCCATATCTGCAATCTGCTGAAGAGAACTTTGATATGTTGTGTGATGTGGTGAATCAACTGGAGATAGAGATAAGTGATCCTTTCATTTCAAATGTCCATGAGCAGTTAAATTATCCAGAAAACTGGATGGACCGTATCGACGAAGAAATTTTTAACAATTTCAATGACTTTGACTGTACATGGTTAGGCTGCTTAAAATTTTTTCAAAACGTTCGCAAGCAGTGGCAAGATGATGCTCATCCAAAACTGCCGCCAAGTGATGGCAACTATAAAAAGTATTTCCTGCAAGTTTTACCGGAGCTTCCTTTTCTGGTGCACAGAATCATAAGGCATAACGAAAAGAAATCCACTCCAGATCTGGAAGAACAATTTGGTGGTAAGTTATCCATTAAATAATTTCTTTTTCGTCAATGATGTAGCTAATCAATCTCTAAAATCAAGTGTAAAAAATGCAGCCTAGTCAGTCAATTATTCCGGTTATCCAGTCGAAGTGTAAATTTTTCTCGTTTGATTTGTCACGATATGTTTGTTTATCGGTGCATCAAAGATTGTCCTGAACAATGTAACCATTTTAAAAATTTTAAATCCAGCATCCCCTTTGACGGTATGAAATGATTAAAAGTCAAATATATTTCCACATGTTTGATTATTTTTATCCCTTATCACTAAATGTAATACTTTACATAATTTTTAGAATTGCAGTTGAAAGAATGGAAGTATTTTGATCAATCAGTAAAGCACAAAGAGATGTTCGTAAAATTAATTAAGTATGGACGCGACCAAGGTATGAAGGTTAAATATGTGAACGACGTACGTGTAATTTTCTTGGACGAGTTTTGCATTGGCAAAGGAAATAATGAAACCCATGTTTATCTTGGACTGAGTAAGGATGGTTATGGAAAAGCAGTGAAACGAGTACGTCGAGATAACTGTATCAAAGAAGCAGAGAACGAAATGAAAGTTTTGAATGAAATCAAAGCCAAGAAGTCGAGTTATCTTGTGAATTGTTACCACTTTGAAGAAGATATTGGAACTGAATATGCCTATTTGATATTTGACCTATGTGAAGAATCGCTGGAGAGTTTTGTAAAATCTTCTACTTTGGAGGATCTTCAACAATCTCTTCCCGAAATTCTCAAGCAAATTTTAAAAGGATTAGCTGATCTTCATAGCGAACCAAATCCTATTCTTCATCGTGATTTAAAACCATCTAATATTCTTCGAGATGCACAAGGACAATATCTGATAGCTGACTTTGGTATTAGTCGAATATTGAAAAACGGCCTTAAGACACATGTAAGCGATGCTACTAAGGGAGCTCAGTATTGGATGGCTCCTGAATCGTACGTTGTTAATGAAGAGTCCGTTGATAAAGCACGTTACAAACCAGAGTCTGATGTAATGGTGGGTGTAAAAATATAACCGTTTGCAACTTACTTCCAAATTTTTAGAAATCTTTTGTTGACACTGTTATGTTTTTAAATATTTTAGAATGCAGGAATGGTGGCTTATTATGTTGCAACAAAAGGGAACCATCCTTTCGGACCTCCAGAGTATAGATTGGAAAACTTGTTAGATAGAAACCCTGTTGGCTTAAAGGAAATCGACGATGTTCAACTTAAAGATCTACTTTCATGGATGCTACAACGTGCACCTGAACTACGACCATCTGCCAACGAGGCGTTAAAACACCCTTATCTACAATCCTATGAGAAGAACTTTGATATGCTGTGTGATGTGGCAAACCAACCAGGTATAGAGATACCGTATTTAGGTCATCCTCTCAACTCAGATGTGCATGAGCAGTTGAATGGTCTAAAAAATTGGATGGACCGTATTGAACCTCATGTTTTTAGTAATTTCAATAAAAGTCAATATGACTCCACATGGTTGGGTTGCTTAAATTTTTTGCAAAACGTTCACCAGAATTGGCATGAGAAACCACTCATACATATCAAGGAAGGCAAGAATGAAGAGTATTTCTTAAGAGTTTTCCCAGAACTTCCTTTGCTGGTGCATAGAATCACAAGGCTTAATGATTGGAAAACAAAACCTGATCTTGAAGAACAATTTACAAGTAAGTTATAACCACTGAAATAATTCTATTATTTTCAAAGATGGATTTAATTTTAGGCTTTCTTTTCAATGTCAAAACAATATAGCTTTTAGTACAAACTTTTTTAAAAAATGCTGTATTGATAAGACTGACGAAAATTTAATCAAGTCAGTCATTTATGGTTTCCGTGTAATCTTTCATGGGGTGAGGAAAACAAGAATCTGTGTTTTTGATTCATCGATCGCTATTTAGCAATTAATTTTGGCATTGATATCGCGTTAAAGATTGGCAAACATTCTTTGCATTTTCAGCATTTTATAATTTTGAAGATCCAGAGCCCAAATACTCTTAAAGATTATATCGTGATGTTTTTTTCATATGGTGCATGGTCTGTAGTCTGTAGTCAAATTTCATTTGTAACAGTTTTGAAAAAAGTTAGTAGATTCCAACTACTATCTCAGAGTGACAGTCGATAGTAAAAGTCGAGAGTAAAAAAAGTCCAGATTTTAAATGAAAAGTCGAGAGTCGAAATGAAACTGATTGTATCAATAAGCCTATATTGTAAGTTGCTTTGTAGCTACGTATTGTTTGTTATTGTCGCTTATTCATATTACTACTGTTCTAATGTAGAATCGTATTTGCAAGACTTTAGAATACTTTTAGCTAATTGTTTGACTATTCTTATCATTCATGCCTAAATGTGAAAATTTTACGTGATTTTAAGACTTGGTGTGGCCAGAGTGGAAATATATTGATGAATCAAGACAACATAGAAAATTGCTTTTAAAATTGATCAAGTATGGACGCGATCCCAACGTCGTCATTGAACAAGTGAACGATGTAGGTGTAATTTTCTCAGACGAGTTTTGCATCGGTAAAGGAAGGAATGAAACCCGTGTTTATCTCGGACTGGGAAAAGATGGTTACGGTAAAGCAGTAAAACGAGTGCTTAAAGATAACTTCATCAATCTTGCACAGCAAGAAAAGAAAATTTTAAATGAAATCAACCCTAAGGAGTTGAGTTATGTTGTAAATTATTACCACTTAGAAGAGGATACCGGAACTGAATATGTCTATTTGATACTTGACCTTTGTGAAGAATCTCTAGAGAGTTTTGTGCAATCTTCTAGTTTGTATGATCTTCAAAAATCTCTTCCTGAGATTCTCAGACAAATTTTAAAAGGATTAGCTGATCTTCACAGCAAGCCACGTCCTATTCTTCATCGAGATTTAAAACCTTCAAATGTTCTAAGAGACGCACATGGTAAATTTTTAATAGCCGACTTTGCTATTAGTCGAATATTGAAGGATAGCCGTACGACATATTCAAGCATTGCAAAATGTGGCACTGAGTATTGGATTGCTCCTGAAACATATTGTGCGAAGGTTCAGTCGATAGACAAAGCTCGTTTCAAAAGACAGTCAGATGTAATGGTAGGTGCAAAAGGGTAACTTTTGCAAATTAAAATGAGTTTGATTTTCGACATTTCTTATAAGCTGTTTTATTTTCATTAATTTTAGAATGCAGGAATGGTGGCTTACTATGTTGCAACAAAAGGGAAACATCCTTTTGGACCTCCACCGTATAGACTGAAAAACATGTTTGATGGAAACCCTGTTGGCTTAAAGGAAATCGACGATGTTCAACTTAAAGATCTACTTTCATGGATGCTACAACGTGTACCTGAACTAAGACCATTAGCCAACGAGGCGTTAAAACACCCTTATCTACAATGCCATGAGGACAACTATGATATGCTGTGTGGTGTGGCAAACCAACCAGGGATAGAGAAACCGTATTTAGGTCATCCTCTTAACTCAGATGTGCATGAGCAGTTAAATGGTCTAAATAATTGGATGGACCGTATTGAACCTGAAGTCTTTAGTAATTTCAATAGAAGTCAATACGACTCCACATGGTTGGGTTGCTTAAAATTTTTGCAAAACGTTCACCAGAATTGGCATGAGAAACCACTCATACATATCAAGGAAGGCAACTATAAAGTGTATTTCTTACGAGTTTTCCCAGAGCTTCCTCTGCTGGTGCATAGAATCACAAGGCTTAATGATTGGAAAATAAGATCTGATCTTAAAGATCATTTCAAAAGTAAGTTATAACCACTGAAAAAATTCTATTATTTTCAATGACAGATTTAATTTGCAACTATATAACAACAAAATTTATCCTGACCTGATTACAAAACTCTCAAGAAATAATTGACAACTATAAAGAGTATTTCTTGAGAGTTTTCCCAGAGCTTCTCCTTTTGGTCACAAAATAAAAGTTATACAGAAGGGCTACTCAAGTGTGCACTGCGTCCTCACGGCCGCCATCACTCCAGCAAGACATTTAGGGCTTTTAACTTGTTCACAACCACTGCAATTTCATGACGTCATCTCTTCACAATGAAATCGAAAATGTTTCAATATAAGAAAGAACGTCGTGTCATTTTAATGGTTGGGAAGAAATGAAAAGCCATAAATATCTTGCTGGAATAGTGGCTGCCGAAATGCGCTGCACAACATGCGCGAGGACAAAAACAGAAAAGGCTCCGACACGAGTGACCTTTCTATATATTCCATATTCTGTGTTTTGGTGCACAGAATCATAAGGTTAACAGAAAAAGTCGGTCAAGTGAAAACTCTTGTAAAGACTTTATTATCTTGAATAGGTAAATGAATCACGAACAAATTCATGCTGTGTTATTATCAAAGGATCGGTCTTAAGCTAATTTCCTTTAATTCTAATCCACTCCTTTGATTCATCGTCACTTTTTGTTGTGATGTGTTTTAATTTTTCATAGGTATTCTTCATTCATAAGGTTGATAAGGTTGTCGATGTAAATATTTTTCCAATTGAGTTTCAGTTAGCTCTGGAAGGATTTACTACGTCGTTTTCAAAATTTTTCATTGAGCATTTTAGTTTCTGCTGAGACAATGATACAAATTGCTGTTGCGTGCATTTTTCAGCTGTTCAACAGTTTTGCATTCTGATATTTGAAGTTCAAGTTTGATCTAAAAAAGTATAAAATCCAATTCAACTATTCGTCAAAGAACATCGGTTTACACTGTCGTAACCAATATATTTAAGACGGCCGATAACAAAAAGGAAAGCTTGATTAAAACAATGAGATAGAAAACATATTTCTACTTTGACAAAGAAGAAGTTGTGAATGACTCTAAATTTGAACTACCTCTCAAAAACTGGGCTCCAACAATTGATCTCTCGAAAGATTTTGAACGCGACATTGGTTTTTTCCAGTGGCTAACACAACCACTATCGGATAAATAAGCCTTATGAAAGAAGGCCAGGAAGATTTTGGGTTTTTTCAGGAAGAACAAGCGCGTGGTAGGATAACTTTGTATCTGAAATTATGAATTACTCGCCATGGAAGATATCTTTAATGGCGCAAGATGTCGCGAAAACTGTGTGCGCTTTATGTATAAGCATGCGCAGTTAATTATTTAACACATTTTTAATTCGGTAATAACTTTTAATTTCAAAAACACATTAGTGTGGACAGATGCAGATAACACAAAAAATCTGTCAATGTTGCAAAAAGTTTCATAAAATAACTTTTAAACTCCTAAAAATTTGATTTTAGTAAACACTTAACTATTTCCGAGCTTTAAATAACGTAAATTACCACTCTTTGTGCGTTTGCAGATTGTGTTAAGAAGTGATTGAGTTATTTAAGCCTTTATGCTTTTTAGTATGTGGAATGATTTTCATGAGTCATTACTTTAGTTATACTCACTTTTTACTCGACGCTTGAATATTAACATGTTCACCAACGCATGATAACCGACATTGTTGAAGTGTGATAGTTTTTCTGATTTGTTTGTTATTAAATGTATACATCCACATAATTTGTAACATCTTAAATTGCCTGTGATTTTAGTTTTGGAAAAAATTGCACCATTTTCGTGATAAAGTTAAACTTTTAAGGGGAATTTCACTTGAGATCGGGCTTTCGAGAGGCCTGTAGTATCTAGACAAAATTAGTTTTTACTTTTAGCTCTTCTGGACTAACTAAATGTGCCTAATTTAGAATATTTATGATGTTGAAAACCGTAGAAGCGTAAGAAATATTATACACCATGTTATACACTATTGAAAATAATGAATTTTGGCAATTCCGACAAAAGACACCAAACGGGTTAGTTTATCAACAAATTAGTGAAAAATGATTAAAGAGGAATATATGCTTAATGAGATGAAATATGGTGCAGTCAAAGAAGTCCGAAAGCCAAATAAAGTGAAAGAGAATTTCATCACGAAAATTGCGCAAAGCAAGTTTTTACAGAGCAAGTGATACTTTGTGGTATTGTTTCATAAGTAAGCGCACGCTTTCGGTGATGAGAGAAATTAAATGTTCTGCTGACCAAAGCGTGATTTAGTAACGTCAAAGAATATTGAGGATGGACGTTTACGACTAAATATCCTCATTCCTATATTTGCGGTAACACGTTAGTAAATATTTCTGTCGTAACAAAAGAAACCGAGGCGACCATATCTGTTGACCGATGCAGATTTGTATCTTCGATTATCAACTGTTGGTATGAATTATTCTACTTTAACTGCTATCTCCAAATACATTTTGGCATCAGTTGACCAAGTTTAAGGAATTCGTGTGCTATACTTTTATTCAAACAGAAGATCATAAAATGAATGCTTTAAGAAGTGATACTTGTGATGAATATTGGGTAGAGGCGTTTCTTTAGATTTGTGCTGCAAAGGTTTTGTGCAATAACCTACGAGCTCTTATTTTCCAGAGCATATTGGTATTGCAGAGCGTTTGACTAGGACAATAACAGCATTGAGTCGATCAGTGATGACGCTGTCTTGTTGGCTATATAAACAGACAGAAACGCAATAAATTTCACTTAAAGTTTACATTCTGGTGTTAAGTATATAGTTCAAGAAGATCGACAATGGCAATGCTCATTTTCTACTGGGAATGTTGATCTACGATTACTTTAAGAAGATTTTCAACCAATTTGGGATAGAGAAATGCAAACGCATGTACACCTGTCGAACCGTCGAAAAAAATTTTAGATTTCTTGGTTTACAGGACTTTTATTACAAATATCCTTGCGTTTACCTACAATAAAGTTGCTTCTTATTTTCATCTCAAATAATTAACCAATGTACTATATAATATCACAGAGATTGGCATTATGATTGAATGTGGACAATACCATTGAATGAAAGTAATATTCGATCAAACTCAAAGGAATTCCCGATCTGTCTCTTGAGTAACATTTTACTGCCCGAAATTAAGATTAGCCTTTTTGAAAAAAATGAATACATTACCATTTAATGTATTGAATAAAATACCAAAAAAACGAACCTATACTATTATGTTATTCGCACGTATTCGAATCTTGTGTGCGATGAATTACTTTCAGCTCACTTCCACATGTTGGATTATTTTCATCCCTTATCCCTAAATGTAATACTTTTACATAATTTTTAGAATTGCAATTGAAAGAATGGAAGTATTTTGATCAATCAATAAAGCACAAAGAGATGTTCTTAAAATTAATTAAGTATGGACGCGACCCAGGTATGAAGGTTGAATGTGTGAACGACGTACGTGTAATTTTCTCGGACGAGTTTTGCATTGGCAAAGGAAATAATGAAACTCGTGTTTATCTTGGACTGAAAAAGGATGGTTATGGAAAAGCAGTAAAACGAGTACGTCGAGATAACTGTACCAATGAAGCAGAGAACGAAATGAGAATTTTGAATGAAATCAAAGCTAAGAAGTCGAGTTATGTTGTGAATTATTACCACTTAGGAGAAGAGCCCGGAACTGAATATGTCTATTTGATACTTGACCTATGTGAAGAATCGCTGGAGAGATTCGTAAAATCTTCTACTTTGGAGGGTCTTCAAAAATCTCTTCCCGAAATTCTCAAGCAAATTTTAAAAGGATTAGCTGATCTTCATAGCGAACCAAATCCTATTATTCATTGTGATTTAAAACCATCAAATGTTCTTCGAGATGCACAAGGACAATATCTGATAGCTGACTTTGGTATTAGTCAAATATTGAAAAACGGCCTTAAAACACATGTAAGCGATGCTACTAAGGGAACTCACGATTGGATTGTTCCTGAATCGTACGTTGTTAATGAGGAGTCATTTGATAAAGCACGATACAAACCAGAGTCTGATGTAATGGTGGGTGTAAAAATATAACCATTTGCAACTTACTTCCAAATTTTTTAGAGTTCTTTTGTTGACACTGTTATGTTTTTATATATTTTAGAATGCAGGAATGGTGGCTTATTATGTTGCAACAAAAGGGAAACATCCTTTTGGACCTCGAGAGTATAGACTGAAAAACTTGTTAGATGGAAACCTTGTTGGTTTGGAAGAAATCAAGGATGATCAGCTTAGAGATCTTCTTTCATTGATGCTGCAACGACAACCCGAAGACAGGCCATCTGCCAAAAAAGCGTTAAAACATCCATATCTGCAATCTGCTGAAGCGAACTTTGATATGTTGTGTGATGTGGTGAATCAACTGGAGATAGAGATAAGTGATCCTCTCAACTCAGATGTCCATATGCAGCTAAATGATCCAGAAAATTGGATGGACCGTATCGACGGAGAAATTTTTAACAATTTCAATGACTTTCACCCTACATGGTTAGGCTGCTTAAAACTTTTGTTAAACGTTCGCGAGCATTGGCAAGATGAACCTCATCCACAACTGCCGCCAAGTGTGGGCAACTATAAAAAGTATTTCCTGCAAGTTTTTCCGGAGCTTCCTCTTCTGGTGCACAGAATAATGAGGTATATCGAAAGGAAACCCACTCCAGATCTAGAAGAACAATTTGCTAGTAAGTTAATCATTAAGATATTTCATTTTCGTCAATGATGTAGCTACTTAATCTCTATAATTTCTAAGTGTAAAAAATGCAGCCTAGTCAGTCAGTTATTCCGGTTATGCAGTCGAAGTGTAAATTTTCTGTGTTTGATTTGTCGCGATATGTTTGTTAATCTGTGCATCAAAGATTTTCATGAACAAGCTAACCATTTTAAAAATTTTATCTCCAGCATGCCTTTGCCAGTATGAAATGGTTAAAACGCAAATATATTTTTAACATATGCTAATATTGATATGGAGATAAACAAGGAGTAAGTGTTTGGAGGGACGGCGAAGCAACATTATGAAGTGCGAGGCTTAGTCTTCACTTCCACTATGGCGTCTTAGAAAACACGTCTAAACAACGACTTCAGCTCAGCTTAAATATATTTTTTGCAAAAAGGGGGGGGGGGCTTTAGCTATCCCAGCCCCCCAGGCCGTTAACGTTAGTACAAAGCTTATGATTAACTGTAAGGATTTTTACAGTTAGACAAAGTATAACCCTCACATTCCAAAAAGTGTTTATCTTGTTGATAAAGTTTTGAATGTTCCAATATCAGCAATGTACATGGCAATGAATAATGAACATTTCCTAAGAAATTATTTCTCCACAGGGGCAATACTTCCTAGTAAATATGGTCCCACTTTGGAAATTTGACCCCCCTTGCAAACTTTAACACCTATTTCAAAAATGGTGGAATTTTTTTTAAAAACGAAGATCACAGACGATCTAACGTAATACAAGTTATGTAGATCTATACATGACTCATTGAAACTGTCTTGTTCAAACAAAAAACTTATGTTTTGTTACTTTTATATGTTTTTAATCATATTATATTTTATTGCTTATGTTCTCTAACGGTTTAATCAAAATTAGTATTTTACGAGTTTTTGTCTCTGTATTGACTTATCATATGTAAATGAAAAAACAATTTTTATTCTTTATATTGCAGGAGAAATCAATAGAGGTTAGTAGCTATGTTCATCGAATAAAGTAAGGACGAATATTTGTAAAGATATTTCAATAACAAAAAGAATATATTAAGATAAATTTTCTTCCCTCAACAAGGCGAAAGTTTATATGAAATATTCATATGATTCTATTCTTCTTGGTATTCTATCCTTCTTGGTGCTTATGTTTTTAGTACATGAATATTTATGGTTTTTTAAGGCAGTCTATATCCAATGAATTATAAATTCCAAGTATATTATAAGTGTGAGTGTGAACTTTTTTTTCATTGTTGCAGGTTGCTCCGAGCTAGATGAAGGTTGGTATACTCATGCTATATACTTATTATCAATGCTTATAAATAATGCATAAATAATAAATTGTTATCTGAGGAGAAAGATAAAATGCTCCCTTCAAGAAAGAAAAATTCAAAAGAAAATTCATGTAATGATCATCCTTTGTTTATTGAATTTTTTTCACTGCATAAAACCCCTTTTTTACCAATAAGGTGTTGACTTATGTTGATGAGCGCTTCGAGTACCGGTGTCAATTAAAAAAAAACGATGCATACATATATAGAAATACTGTGTAGTCGGTTTCCTGTTGCGCATGTAATCCACTGCTCGTCAGTGGATACTATTTTCTTAATAACATTTTGATAGGACTATACATTGCCGACAGTTCTCCTAGACTGCATTTGACGTACCTATGTTGAATCAGTCGAATCTTTAAATGTACATCGCACAAAGCAAATGTCATTGTATTCATGATCTGTATAGCCAGTCTTGCATCATATTTTTAAATTCACTGTCATTAAGAATCGTTTAAACAATAGTCATATTGATTTTCATTGAAGTAGATTTGAGTGTAGATGTGTACGTTTATGTTGGATGTCTGCAAAATGTTTTTTGTTTCTGTAACTAGGTCTAGTTTATTTATTGTTTTATTTAATTTTCATCAATTTAACAAAATTATTGCAATCATGACCTTAAAACACGGTTTTACGTTATTTGTTTTTAATATGGTTAAGTACTTATACGTTGCTTGAAAGTGATGCATAAAGCATGAAAACGTTGCAAAACAAAAAGCATACAAATATTAATATTCATAAATGCGCAAAAAGCACTTCCTATCAAGGCATTTAGCTTGTAATAAACAATTTTTGGATGAGGTCGATCATGATATCAAGAATTATTCAGACCGAGGTCAATGTTATCTTCCGAGGCGAAGCTGAGTATAGTTGAGGGATGTTGGTTTATATTGATATAATTTTTTCTAACTGTATATTTTTGCTCCTCAAAAAACTGAGAAAATTGAACTTTTGCATCAAAAGAATAAACTTAAAGGTTACATGATGCTACCATTTGATTTTATATATCTTTATGAAAATTGTATTGATGTTTCTACTATAAACAAAGGTCAAGGTCAGTAGAGTAGTCAACTGTAAAAATGTCGTTTTACGCATGTTATCTACATGAGATATAGCAGATTTTTCAAAAAAGAATTGTTAAAGATATCTTTGGGACAAGATTTCAAAAGAGTACGAGGAATATCATTTTTAAACTAGAATACCTGCGTCACTCACAGATTTATCTTTAGGAAAGAGGACGACGAAAACATTACCCAGATTGCATTACGAGAAAAAAGGTAAAAATGTACATGCGAATATTTTCATCATTCTGTGAACTCATGTTTACTGGCTTTTCAGAACCACAACGTCCAAGAAGGGATACTATTAACAATTGTCAAGAAAGTGACAGGAGAGGTAAGGAAGAGTGAAAATGTTATGTTGAAACTTAAGTTCTTATATAATACATTAGAATGTTAGTTTTAGAAATATTATCATTGTAAAAGAAGTATATAACCATGCTGTGCATTACAAGTCTGTGTGAGGAGATTTGTACTTCAGGAAAAATCTTCATACGTTGTCAACTGCATCTTTTTCCGAGCTTCAGTTGTGTGTAGACTCCTGAATGTTAGACTTCCACATATCTCAAAAGTGTATTTTTTAATACAGGATTGGGGTGGAGGTTGTGAACTAATTTTAAAAATATGGACAATAAGACTTGATGATTTAAAGGAAGTGAAAGTCGTAACAAGTTTTTTTTAAGTAAACCTGCGGAAGGATCATCATTATTCATTATCATTTTGCTTGTGTTTCTTCTCCTAAAGAGCCCAATAATTTGTTTTTGAAATTTAAAGTTGTTCGTCGCTAACTAAGTTTTTTTAATTTGAAAATAAAGTGCAACGAATCGTTTAGGTAGCGTGTCATGTGTAAATGTCATACTATTGTTTTTATATTTTTATTTTTTCATTATGCAGACGAGACGTCAAAAGGACTTTCAAAAATAACAAGAGAAAGTTTTGGTAGACCGTCAAAAGAAGGTAGATACCACGTGTTTACCTTGTACTTTTGCACCTTAGAATGAAGTGGAAGGTGGACGCTTCGTCGTTCTTAAATGGATAGATGACGCGACGATCTCGAAATTTTGTTATTACTTCTATGTTTTATCTGATTTATCTATAGGAAAGACGACAAAAAAAACACCCAAAAGGCGATTCTTCTCTCCGTCAAAAGATTACGAGGAAAAAGGTAAACATGTACACGTTAATATTTTCATCATCCTGTGAACGGCTAATTTCAAAGATGTGCAGTTTTTTGAGACACACTGTACATCATGTATCAAAAAATTGCAAATACCATAATTTGTTTGCACGAGATTATACATTAAAATTTCAATGGCTGTGCAACTAATCACGCTTCTGGGATTTAAAAGTTAAAATAATTTTAATTCACTTTATGTGCTTATTTTCATAGAACTTTATGTACACATTTATAATACAAAAAAATGAAAGTTTCTCCGGATTGTTTTAAAAATTGTATTATTGAGACATTTATAATAATGCGTGAATGCTAACTTAGAAAATTCTTACAAACATTTTGGAATATCTGAAAGTTGGCTTATAGGTTATTATCATTCTATCATCATGTCCATTATCATGTGCAATATGTTATGATCGACATGTTATCATCATGTCGATTACATGTTTGTAAATGTAGATCGTCCAGGTTAGTAAAGTCCTGAGAAGGACTGTTTTTGTTGTTGTTGACTGACGTTTCGACAACCTTAGTTGTAGTCATCTTCACAGTCAAATGGGAAGTTAACGTCGGGTTAGCCGTATGTGTTATCTGGTTCTTACGTCATTTTATTGTGTGTACAGAAAATGTGTGGGTGTCAATTGTGTATTGTCATTGTTGATTAGTGTGAAGTGTAATGTTTTTAGTTGATCGTTTGTTTGTATTGTGAATAAGTCGTTTGTAAGGTGCCGGTGGTTGCTGTATCCTGTTCAGGGGGGTTTGGTATCGTTTGTAAGGTATCGTTGCTGTTGTTGTTGAGTTGTTGGTTTCGTTGTGTTCGTTGGGTTTGTTAGTGTTGCGTTTGATAAAGTCAGAGTTATAGTTGTTTTTGTCAAAAACACGTTTGAGATAGTCGTTTTCATTGTGTAGAGCGTTCGGTGAATCACATATGATTTGTGCACGTCTTGTTAATGTTCTGATTGTGGTGGCTTTGTGTGATGTAGGGTTGTAAGTTGATTGGTCTAGTAGTCGGTCAGTGTGTGTTGGTTGGCGATAAACTGTTCTTCGTAGTTTTTGATTGTCCTGTTTTACCAAACAGTCGAGAAAGGGATGAGTTCCGTTTTTTTCGTCATCTTTGTACGTGGCTGCTCTGTTTGTTGATGTGAGTGTGAAAGTCATCAATCTCGTCTGCATGTAGTGCTGTGATTGTGTCATCTACGTAGCTGAATCAAATAGGTGGTGCATGTTTTACAAAGGTATCGTTATATGTAGCCAACTGAAATCTTTTAATTCAAAAATAATGCAAATGTTGTGGATCAAAATCATGTGAAAATTTTAAACTTTGTAAACATAGAAATTTGATCAGTATGTATAGAAAGTGAAAACTGGCTATGATGCTAAAAGTGAAATGTGAAAACCATCATGATCAACGTGTCAGTTACATGTATACGTTACACGTACACAAATGAACTTAAATAGAATATTGTTGAAAACATCCTTTTAAAACATATTATTTGATTATTGATAGCTAATAATTATGTTAACGAATAAATAGTTTCATTTACCGTTTATGTGGTAGCCAGATGCCCTGATGTTGGATCAAAGTTATCCGTTTTCTATAACTTTTTTTGTGACAGATAACTGTTTCAAGAGATATTTATGATGTGTTATGAAAAAGTAAATTTATTAGTTTTACGAAAAAACTTGCAATAAAACCCACGTTGTTATTTTTCCACCCAAAAGATTAGAAACCACAAAGTAAAGTAGTTCAACTCACTGGTTCAACTTCCTCTTTGCAAACACACGGTATTAGCATAACCATGCATCTAATATTTGCAAGACCGAATAACATACAATAAATGGTTACGTAAATGCAAATTCTAAATAAATTATGGCTCGCTGAAAGGTTTATTGGATCAAATATCCCAAAATTTTAGTCAGACCGACATTTTTCGTATTTTATCCGTTTCTGGACCGACTTTTATTCATATTTTACAAAAGCTGGGTAGTGTAACATGTGATATACACTTTTATTTTCTTTATCATGTGTTTAGATGCAGATGTTATTTTGGATGAACACATTAAAATCTTCAAAAGTAATTTTCTTGACGAACGCAGTAACATTAAAGCTGACGTGTGTGATGTACTTGAAAGGTGAAATACTCTAAATGTAGTTCTTGGAGAAATTCAACTTGAATTTTCAGTATTACAAAAACGAGTTTTTATCTTGATATGAGCTTAAATATTTGATTTAAGCTTCACGTGGCTTTGTGGAGAGTATGGAACAGCTGGCCCAAACGAGAAGATGCCATTTCCTCACTTATATGTCATGGTTGATGATAGTCAAAAAAAATCGAATGAAATTATAAAGCAAGAGATTGATGGAAAATTTGGATGGGAAGCTTCAAAAAACATTGATTTGCCACGTAAAGCTCCTAAAAAAGCAAATTTTCGATTGCTGTCTGACTTTCGCGCTTCAAGAAAGGATAAAAATGACGTTGGATCTCGTGGTACATTGACAATATTTTGTCGAAAGGAAGAACGGTATTTTGCTTTAACTTGCGCACATAATGGTGTTGATAGTGACTTTGTTGACTACCGAGGCGTGTTCAATCTCGAAGACTGGTTGGAAATGCGCGATGCTGTGAATTCTAATTCCATGAAACATAACATGGATTACTTTTACAAACCTTCTCACAATGACAGTGAGGTGCAACTTGGCGATGGCCGCAACGCGGTTTCGCGGCTCGATGAAGAAACAGACATCATGTGCATTTCTGTTGGTAAAACAGATTTCAACAGGTACCTTAAAAAATACATGAAAAGTTTTCAATTAAGTTTAGAAAATGCAAATGACGAGCTTTTTCGACGAGTTGTTCAGGAAAATGAACACGTCGACGCACGCATTACTGCAAACAACAAATCCAAGCATAGTAAGATCACAGCGTACAATTATTGTTATTGGTCTCAATATCGTAAAAAACCTATAATTAGAAATGCAGTCAAGGTTCAAAGTGATGTGTCATTTATTGAGGATGGTGACTCTGGTGCTCTTGTTTACTTTTTGAATGAAAACAATAATTGGAAACCGTTTGCATACGCTGTTGCTGAAGTCGAAGGAGATGGCAATAAAAATGGTAGTGAGAGTAATGATAGTGATCGTGAGATCTGTTTCGCCAAACCTGCGGGGACTTTTATTTGCTTTAAATTGGACAAAGCTTTGGAGAAACTGAACCTTGAGAATGAGGAATATTTTGGAAGAAATGGTAAGATGCTATGTTGATGTTATTGTTGTTTAATATATTCCTAAACGTTAAGGCTTACATTACATTTAATGTTTTAGATTCGACGGGTATCGTCAAGTCGGCCCTTCGTTTTCTAAAATTGAGGAAATAGTATCTTCCTGGAATTTTCAAAAAAACACCCTCATGCTGTTATTTTGGAGTTCAATGAGCTAACTTTATTGAATGTAATCAATTTTAATTAGCACTTATGACAAAATTAATGTAAACTATGATTCATTTAAAATTCACGATTCCACCACAATGTTGAATCCAGTGTTGGGCAGTAAATCACAACACCTCACTTTTGGATTGTTTTAAGATTTGAAACTTTTTACTTGTAATTAGATTAGCAGGACATAACTGATTCTTTGGAAATACTTATGATCAATTACATTCTTATAAAAGATGTTATATGTATTAAAGCTACAATTTATTTCCAAATCACTGGCTCTTCTTTTACATTCACACGATCTACGAACACTACATACACACATCAGCTACTGCCCAAACTTTAACTGGTACAAGTTGGTACAAGTGATTTCTCAGGCGTACAAATCCATTTAGTTTGCGTCTGAAACTCAATGTTGTGACGTAGTCGTACTGACTCGTACAATAGAATGCTAAAACGACAAATTTCGAACTGGCAACTAACTTTTGTTGATACATAAATTTACAAATTTTTGTCGAAGTCACAAAACTATTTGTTCAAGTTGATGGGAGTATGTACCTTTTTTTAATAACTTTTGCTAAAAGCTATAAATCTTGTAATCCCAGTTGCTGCCTAAAAAATTTACCTTCAACTTAGTTTCAACTCTCACAAGATGCACCATTACAGAAGCACTTTGATTCTAGGGTTCTGGCTTACCATTTGTCAGACAATAATTATATACATGATTATTGTATTACTGAGGTTTGTGGACCAATAACCTCGTGTTTTAGCTCAGGTATTATTAAGCACATCAACTCATTTGTAACGATATTTTGCTCGAGAGTTTCATTTGTTTTTTAGTCGATGGAATGACGAAGACTTAATTGATACCCTTAATGTAATTGTTAACGGTAAATATGTATCACTTCAAGACATTATTTTGAAATTGATGAGAGTAAATGACAATGATAAAAAAATTAAAATCGAGTAGAAGCAGAACATCTCTGTTTGTATCTAGTGCATTGTATTTTATCTGCTATCATATTTCACTTATGACTCTCTTTTACATTTTATCGACTTGTTATTTTTATCTTATTACCTATGACGGAGAAAAAATCTTTATGATCATCAACTGAAGATAAGTTTGGCAAAGTTTGTGAATCGTCTTTGGACTGAGGTCCAGGAGGATGAACATTAACGTTTTTAATTGGAAACTTGCAGCACTAAGACAATTATTAAGGAAAATTGTGTCATCATATATGATTTTTGTCAAGAGTTAATTAGACCTCCTAGTATAGTTAGAAATGTTGTTAATAAAGTTACTGGAAACAGCAAGTAATAACCTTCCTTATAGTTATAGCAAACTTGCCAACTATGTTTTTTATGCAGTGGTCTGTATGTTGTTCATATAAGAATGCGATATAATTATTGAGTTCTATAAGACCTATGAGTTCTATAAGAATCATTGAGGTCTTATAGAACTCGATGAATGAAACAAACTGGCCCGATCAAGTGGTGAGTTTGTTGCTCGATACTGTCAGAGAAAGAGAGAGTATTTGGAATACCAAAAGTAAGCATTACAAAAACAGAAATATGAAGAATGCACACTACCAGGAAATACTGCAAGCAATCAAAGTTGAACTGCCAAACGTTGATTTGCCAAACATCAAAGGTTAGTGATAAGATTCTAATGGAGTAGAAAGAATTGCATTTTAGCAATTTATAAACATTGTTTATGCTCTATGGCTTGCATTAAATCGCAAAGAAAAAATATCTTGTCCTGCTTACATGGCAATGTGTTCAAACTTCTAACTCAGCTTGTTCGCATGCCAAAATTGGTAAAGAAAAACATATCCATCTGTAGCTTTATATGCTATTATTTGGATTCAAATAAGTCTATTCCAATAAAAATTCTGGCTTAAACTTTTAACAAAGATACAGAGCTTAAGAACATTTTATAGTGAAGAAGTTAGAAAAATAAGAAAAAGCCAAAGTACAAGCAGTGGGGCTAGTGAAGTTTATGTATCAAAATGGAAGTTTTTTGCCAATGCAGTTTCCTGGATGTAGTTATATCACACAATCGTCAAGTATTTACAGATGCTATTGATGAAGATTTTCCACCAGACAGAGAAAACCAATTGAATGATTCAATTATTGATAATGAAGATACAGGAAGAGAATGTAGTTTTATTTCAAACTCAAAAAAGAGAATACAATCACATAGTCCATTTCTTGAGTCAGCAACATCTGCCTTGAACCAGTTGGCAAAATAAGCAACATCTGACCCTGAAGACTAGTGGGATATTTTTGGTAAAGATGTGGCACATGCAATGCATGGTCTGGTAGATAAAGATATACAAAGACGAGTCAAGTTTGCCATACAATTGACCATTTTTTAGGCCACAGAGCCCCCACGGGCTCAAAACCAACCATTTTATTAAGCAGACCAATCAATAAATAATCAGTTGCAACCACCATCTTATTAAACTAGGGTATTTTAAATGAACATGTTTCAATGATTAAACTTCTACATCAAAATAACTTATACATTTGTTTTTGAGTTTACTGGATTTATATATATATATAAAGGGCAACATCAACCAGCAAAACCAGTTTTCATATATTTTTTATATTCAAATGAGGTAAATCAATTTCTTTGTTATAATTCTTTAGTTTGTCATTGTCCATTGAAAATCAACTGCCCCTTCTTCAAAAAAATAATCTTTAAGAGCATTTCTGATTTATCTTGCATGAATTGATGATGGGCGGGCACTGGCATTTGGCTGGATGTCACATACTTCATTTTCATTGCCTAATTGTGCTCTCCAAGAACCATTCACAACATTTCCTAATTCATCTTCAAAGTCCATACATCCTGGATGTGTGTAAAACTGGTCCTTCTGACTTATCAAAAGGTTATGCAGTGCCATACAGCCCCTCACCACCTGCATTGCATGTGGAACATCCAACTCCAATGTTCTCTAAAGACATCTGAATCGACTACACATCAATACAAATGCATTTTCGACAATTCTTTGTGCTTGTGAAAGTCTATAGTTAAAAACTTTCTCATCACCTATTGCAGTCTGGTGGGATATGGCTTCATTTGATTTTCATTCAAAGCAAATGCCTCATCTCCAAGCAGAAAGTAAGATATAGGCAATAATGTATCTCTTAGTTCTTCAGCTTGTGGGAAATGGCATGTCTTGCATATGTTTTTAAGGTGACTGTCTTTAAAAATTCCTCCATCTGACTGGTTGCCAGGGGCTCCAAGATCAAATGAGATGAATTTAGCATTTGCATCTGCAATAGCCAAGAGGACTATGCTAAAATGTTCTTTACAGTTAAAGTACTCAGGGGCTGAGTTTGGAGGTGCACACAAATTGATATGTTTCCCATCAATGGCCCCAACTGCATGGGGAAAGTGCCATTTGCACTTAAATTCATCAGCAATGTGTAACCATTGTTGCTTTGTTGTGGGTGGCTTTAAATATTCTTCCTTCAGCACATTATACAAAGCTTCACAGACCTCAGGTACAATTTTTGAAATAGATGAAACTGATATTCTGAAACTGTACATGAACCTTCCAGTGGCAGCACAGAAAAAATTCTGAGTTCAATTACTTCTCGTAGTTTCAAGTCATCTTCAAAAACTGGTAGATTTGATATTTGTGTTTTAGGAGATTCTAAGTCCAGTGACATTCATTTTGTGTAATATTTTGTAGATGAACCTTCCACTCCCAACACAGTCGAATTTAAAAAACGTTTTCTCACAAAGGATCACAAAATTAAACAGAGCGTCCATGAAAATTTGAAAAGGTAAATCTTTTTTATCGCTTTTACGTCAATTTTGACTTATTTGCCACGAGGAAAAGGCATCGAATATCTTCACTTTTCCACATTTGCAGTTTTCCTTGGCTTTGTGGCAAGTATAGTACAGCACGTCCTACTTATGAGATGAATTATCGTCACATGTATCTTGAAGTTGACGAATCAAAGACTGAGGATCTTTTAAAGCAAGAAATCGATGACAAATTTGAATAGAAAGCTTCAGATTACATCGAATTACGTTATGTTGACCCACGTAAGAAAATAGAAATGCAACAGCTATCCAACAATGTTATGGTAAGTCGAGATGATGAGCCCAATAGATCAATTTATGGCGCGTTGACTTTGTTCTGCTGTAAGATGAACAGCATTACGCTTTGACTTGCGCCCATGTTGGTTACTTAAAAAGTATTCTCAAAGGGCGAAAGCGTGATTTATACTGAAACTTTTTAAATATTCAACTTAGTTCGGAGTAAGTAAATCAGTTCTTATAAAGTACTACTTCAAGGTAAATGAAGTATCTAGTTGCACAAAATCTAGGAAAAGAAATTGAATTTCGGTAAAAACGCCTTCCATCATGTCTTCCTATGATAAGTTTATTTGTGCTTGGTTTTATTGGCTTTCATAAAACCCGAGTTTGTGTGGCATTGTTTGAATTTTCAATGAGTTTTGCATGCAAAATCATATTGCAAGTTGGGAATGAAATCATGAAAAGAAAATAGCTTTTGGTATGTAAGAGGAAACGAAAGCTTCACTCACCTGGCGAGATATATTTTTCTTGAGCAACATAAACAACTGCAGCAACACATTGTTGACATATACCATGCTCAAATCGTGCAGGATTTTTACACATCCAAACAGGTAGAACCAGTCTCTTGTAATGCTAGAGAAGCATAATTATTGATATAGATTTATACATTATATTTGCTTATTTGATTGTTCAAATTGGACAGTATATGGTTGAATTTTCAACTTTTGTATTAGATATATTGCCTGCACGGATGTAAATGCTGATTCCCTGTTATTATTGCAAAAAAATTTTCGTTAGGCTGATTGAAAGAAGACGGAGGACTAACAAATTAAGTGTCAAGGGAAAATTTAAAAGTGGTTGGTTTACCTTTGGAGAAGCAATACATATATTCAAAAGCGGTAGATATTCTGACGATAGTTCATAAACGCAACCTTCTACGGAACATTCAGGATCTTGGACTACGTTTGGAAGGAGTTGCACCTAAGCGTTAATGGCAATAAAACTGATTTTGAAAACTCTCTTAAAGACACTGCTTCTGTTATTTCTGACCTCGTTTATTAAAGTCTGTAGCCAAATAGCAATCCCCAAAGACGTGATCTTATTTCGCACCGTAGTTGTATAGACAACCTAAATGCAAGCCCCAAATTCGTCAAATCAAAAGATATTTTGTATTAAGTACAGATGACAGTAGCTACAAATCATTATACCTGTTTTGAGTAACATTCAAACCATATGCAAAGTACAAAAAAAGACCCAATTTCGGGCTCGTGTTGACTTCAAACTTCCATCGAGAGAAATCGGAGACTTTTTCATTTCTAAATAAAAAACAAGGTTTGTGAATATTCTATGAAATTTCCTGATTATTTGTTTTCAATTTAAAGTTTTACCTTGATAGCTTATTCACGGGTTTCCTTACTGCAATAATTTCAAGCTGATTGGTCTCACCGTTTTTAAAAGTTCCTTTGTTTTGTTCTAACTACAAGAGTCATCTTTGTTTTCTTCTGTTGAATTAATAAGTGACATGTTTGTTCCTCTGCATTTAGTGTTGTTTTGTGAAGCACGATTCTCCAGCAAATTAAAGTCATTTTCTGTCGAAGAGTAGCACGTTCTTGAAGAAACTGATAACTTTTTAATGATTACATATTTATAAACGTCGTCACTTTTTACGCTATCACTGGAAGATAATTCCACATTGCAGTGAGTTGATTTTAGATGATTGTCCTTATCATCATGTGAGCTATTAACATTATGAATATCTGCATCATAGATTCTATTTAAAGGATCTGTGTTACGTGATTTCCTGTTATCTAAATCCCTTTCACCTTTAGAAAGTTGACCAGTCCAAACATCAACACCAGCTGCCTGTTTGGAAGCATTAGAATCATGAATATCAATAACGTTGTCATTTGCTTCTTCATTTATAGAAATGATTCGTTGATTTTGTGCAAAGTCATTTCTATCATGCTCTTTTACACCATCACCATGATCTAGTTGAGTTGTTTCACATTGTTCTGCCAGCGACTGCCTACGAAGATCAACGGTCAAGATGTTTTGAGAGATTCGTTGGCTGGCCGAAGAAAACCTTGTTACATCCGGACTTTGGACGTTTTCATAAACTTGAAAACCATCGAAAGAGTTCTTGAAGCAATCTAGAAGTGAATAGCACAAAAAATCCAAGCTAAACAAAATGATGATAAAACTTTGCGACATTTCATTTGCAGAAATATCTGCTCATCTCAATATAGAGATGCTAATAAAAAATTACTTAGCTCTCCAAAAAGGCCCTCGATAAGATTTTTCAAGAAAAGCGTAATCCTCAATTTGGGAATTTACATTTTGGATGCCTAGACATTTGGCAACGCTAGGCTCAGAAAGAAATCTTGACGGGAAAAGAGAGTCTTCAACGGTCCATTTTTCTCAAACCATTTTGTCGAGATACGGGACGATCTTGTGGTGGTTTATCCGAGAAGACTACGAACATATTCTATTGCTAGTCTTGTTTTCAACTTGCAATGGCTGTTGGGGTTGGTCGTCTAAAGAAAACAAAACAGAAATGTTATTTTGTAATTAGCAATCGGGTTTGTCGTTTGTTTTAACTTTTCTTTGTACACTACACTTAAATGTGTAATCAATAACCATTAATCAATCATTGATTATCGTTTTCTGAGACAAACCGTGATCGACCTGTAATTCTTAATACTGAAGAGTATCGTAGTGTAAATGAAAATACATGCTCACTTTTTTAATCATATGTTTGTTTGGTCGTATATTTTTTCGTGAATGCTTTAGTTTAACATTAAATGGTAGATCATGTGGACCAGTTTTTGTCGCCAATTGTGTTTTTGATGGCTCAGCTATGATCGTCTCTTTTCTTGCGTCAATGCAAAGGTATTTACTGGGTTGCTGGAAAGAAGTAGAAAATTATTCTTTGATATATGTTTTCTTAAAACTCCACGAGAACATAGTCAAATCTATTTTATAACATTAGAACAAAGTAAATACTTTACAGTGCCAGACTGCGAGTTTCAGTTGGGTGGAAAAGCAGCTGATAAAATTAAGTGACATACGCTTTGTTGTTAATGATAAGTTAAAAAAGATTTCATACAGCAATAGAATCAAGTTGCCAGCATTTTGGTATAAATCATATTGTATGATGCAAATGACCAGCTTTCAAAATTCGAACAGCTAGCACACTGCAGGGCGTTCGTAGCGAGTAGAATGAGACTTATTTATTAAATTCAGGATTTGAACAAAGTTGTTTTCCAGAATGCAGTCTATGTTTAAGGTTTTAGAAAGTTTGTAGATTCCGGGGACTCTGTAGCATGTGCATAAAAAACTGAAGGAAGTCACGGTCCATTCCTATCTCGAAATACGTTTTTCTAAACAAAATTAAAATCGACTAAAACAGAACATCTCTCCTTGTACCTAGTGCATGGTATTTCATCTGTCGTTATATTTTATAACTGTTTGGGACTCTTACAATTCATTGACTTGTTATCAATTAGGATCATGGGATTGAGACGAAAATCTTCACGACCATAATTAAAGATAAGTTAGGTAAGGTAGCTGGTAAAGGCCGTTGAGTCTTCAGTGGTCTGGGGACAAGTAAGATGATTACATGAATCTTAATTTTTTTAAATGGAAACATCGCTTTTAAATGTTGTTTAAATGTTAGCAATAATATAAATAAATATTTACGAAATGACTTGGATGAAAATAGTTTTATAACCATTAAGCTTGTTAAGTAAAGGAGAAATACATTTTTATAGGTTTTATTAACTGTGGATTTTACAATGATTCACAGTTTGTTTATCATCAACCATTCAGGGTGAGTCGGTAGTGACATTAAAATGAGTATTATTATAGGTTTAGTATATATAGATATCACAATGATTCACAGTTTGTTTATCATCAACGCTTCAATGTGAGTAGATATGATATATGATGGATATATATGGGTTAATGTTTTTTATAGATCAAATTTCCTCTCTAGGCTCTTGTTGGTTTGTTAGTTTACACCGATAATTTATGCAGTTTAGGAACTTGTGTTTGATTGCTGTGGATGGCAGACGTTTGTGGCTGTTCAAAAGACATCAGGCCATGGAAAAATAATAAGTTTTATTATCGACTGAAGAAAGTAATTGTGGACAAGTAAGATGAATGTTTTGAATTTTTTTCAAATGGAAACATCTTTATTAAATGTTGGCAAAAATATATATATTTACAAAATGAACTTAAATGAAAATAGTTTTATGCAGGTATTGGTTAATGGTTGTAGATAAAATTTCTCCTTCAGGCTCTTTTGTTGGTTTTGTGCATATTAGCTTGTAATTATTCAAGTATGTAATTTATAATTAAATTTGAATGAGATATAGTGAGATAAGTTGCAGTATGATATTAAATGAAAGCTTGAACAAGGGCTACAAAGTGAAGGCTTATTTTTATTTGTGGTATCATCTGACATGATTAATGCAATTATACTAAGATCAAATGAAAATGCCATGACATTAAATAGTCCAGTAAACGAATGTCCAAGGTTAAACAAAATAATGTCATGGGTAATTGTGGGATATATTTCTGGAAAAACATTGGAGAAGTGTTTTAGGATTTGTTTTTGATTATTTCTTTGAAGCTCAAGGAAAATTGAATGAATTTATGTGTAAATTGTTGGTGATTGATATGAAGGTATCAAGCACTTGTGATATGTTGAAAATGAAGACTTATTTAGTTGAGAAATTTTAACCATTTATTATGTGCTATTATTTTGTTTACCAGTAATTATATCGAACTTTATTAAATCAAGTATTTGCTTATTTAATTTCAGGCCCATTCTCCTGAAGACATTCCTCTGTTGTGAAAAATACTTTGGAAAAATTAGCCCTTGCTGGTTAGAGTCGGCCAAAGATCATATTTTCATGTAAGGTAAAGGTGCACCTGATTTTTGTATTATTGAAAAGAGAATTCCTTACATAAGTTCACCTAAAGCTATTTCTTACTAATAGTTTTCATTAACACATTATTTTGTTATGCAATCAAAAAACACCTCAACTATCTGCAAATGGGCTCCAAAAAAGTATATAATTGTTGGATTCCATTATTATTATGCTAAATTCATGCGTATTTTTCATAATTTGGACACAGTCACTGAATGAAAATGTATCTGCAATGAGTATTTTTAATGTTTGTTTACAATTACTCATTACTGTCTATCTAGTTTGCACTAATATTGAGGTGTACAATTTTCTGGGAGAGGTCTCACTGGTCTGTTTGCAACATTGATGGTGAGTTATTTTATTTGTCAGAGAAATTAGGCTATGCAAAACAAGAGAGTGGCAGACATCATGTCTGTGATGACACTCTATGCACTGCCTTTTTATCATATTTCTTATTTACAAAAAGTTCAAACCTTTTTTCAATCCCCTACAAATAATGTTCTGTTGTTATTATCAGGAGTTCAAAGTATCATGATAAAACAAGTTGTGAATCAATGAATTCAATGTTTCAAAATAGTAATATTGTTTAAACAGAATTTAATTATCAGGTCTTGAAGCATAGATAAATGGGATCAAACATAACTCATATTTCATCGCAATTGCCGGATGGTCTCATAACAATTGTGAACTGTTAAATTTATGCACACTAGAAAATTCTTATCCTGTGTTAAAGTGACTGCAACTCCACTTGTTTCAATCTTTTTGCGTCTCCTGTTTTACAGGCTTCCCACGTGTACCCATGCGTACCTATTTTTGTTAATGCATTTTGTCAAATTCACAGAATGTCCGAAGTTTTTTCATGAACAGTTACAAGGTCAACAAATTGGTGACAGAAACGATAAAGTAAGGATTTTTTCTTGCTGCCCAAGGCATCATCCAGTATGATATAAAGAAAATTCCAGTTGAATAATTTAAGAAACAGTCCATTCATAAACAATTTGTGTTTTGCTATTGGTAGATTTACGCAAGATTTATTGGAATTAATGTTTATTTGTAATAACTGTTTATTTGTAGACGATTGTGAGCATACTGAAATGCAGTCATTTACGAAATCTCCTTAGAGAAATCTCCATAAAGCATGTTTTTCCATCTATGATCTTTTGAATTTAAAATGCTACATTGTAAAAGAAATATTAATTTCTCTCAAGGTCACGAGCTGCAGAAGAAGGCATTCGTGCTGTCAGACGGAAGCAAAAACGGTGAAGAAGTGGAGGTTGTTGGAACTTTTAAAGGTGAGAGAATTTTTACAAACATAGTTGTGACATGTTCTTTACTGGATAAAAACTACACGTTGCTATTCTAGATAGCATTTGTGAATTCTTTCAATACCCTAATAACCATTTTAAGAACATTTCACGCGTCAGGCGTTTGATTCAATCGCCAATAGTTTGTATTGGGTTTTTCTATAAGATAGAAAGTCAGTCTCTTGGCGATTAAATCGAACTTCCAATGCCTAAATGAAAAACTCTTAACATTTTGTTATTACCTTTATACAAAACAAAAGACTTCACAAATTCAATTTAGTTTTTTTGAGCGTAACAGTCTTTAATTCCATGTACAAATCCCCGATTTCTGTTTTTAACACATATCTTTCAGTCTCTTATTAGTTACAGTTAACAAAAAATAATTTTGAACATTTACCAGGAAGAATTCGATTAGAAAGATAATAGGAAAATAAAAATAGGCAAATTCTCGGTATCGCTAGTATTGAATGAACAAAGATCTTTTTCTTGTTGTTTTAAATAGTTGCATCTTAAATAGTTATGCAATTAAGTGTGTCATTGACACGCGTAATATCATTTACCATTTGAACATTTACCAGGAAAAATTCGGTTAGAATGATAATAGGAAAATAAAAATAGACAAATTCTCGGTATCGCTAGTATCGATTGAACAAAGATCTTTTTCTTGTTGTTTTAAATAGTTGCATCTTAAATAGTTATGCAATGAAGTGTGTCATTGACACGCGTAATATCACATTTTTCAATGAATTCTTGCATTTTAGATGAACGGACTATTCTAAATTCTAATACTGTATATCTTACATGCCAATACCCTTAAGGTTTGTTTCTTCTCATTAAGTGTTGCATGGTAGCGCCTTGTTTGATTCGGTTGTCCAAATTTAGAATCTCCTGTGTTGTTTTTAAATGTAGTCGACTGCAATCAATGGTTAATCACAAACATTAAACAGTTATACTATAAAACGTTCCATTTGCTGTGATTACAATAAGCGGATTTTGTTTTGATTTATGCTTTTCAATTTCTTGGTAGAGATTTGTACGGGAAAAAGTAACTTCCAATTACGTTCACATTGACAAAGACCCCATTGCTTTACTGAGTTTAAAGTGTCCTTGATTGTGATAGCTTCATCATAATTGGTGAAAGTAAACCATTGCACTTAATTTGTTTTAAATCAAGTTTATAAATATGAATCTTGACGATAGTAGTCTTTTCTTATGATGTTATATGTAATTTAACGAGTGAGAAAGGTTCTCGCCACTATAGCAGTTTACTGGATGGCACCGTGTTTCGGCTTTATTCCAAAGCCATCATCAGAGTATATATATAGTATATTAATCCTAACACGGTTTTTAATATGCACATGAAAAACATGTGATAAAGTAAATGGTTTGAGCCCGGGAGTATCGTTATATGTTTGTAAATGATGATCGTCCAGGTTAATGAAGTCCATTTGACTCCAGGTTAATGAAGATGGCTACCGCTAAGGTTCTCGAAACGTCAGTCAACAACAACAAAAACAGTCCTTCTCAGGACTTTATTAACCTGGACGATCATCATTTACAAGCATATAAAAACATGTGACTTGAACGAGATTTGAACTCGCACCTTCGGGGCCACTAGTCCGCCGTTCTACCTGTTGAGCTACCAAGTTCTTGTGAGTCTGAGCATGAAGAAAGTTTTTTAAAATCGTCGAAGGTGGCGGTGTTTCATGTGGATTTAAGGTGTGATAGTATGGAGGAATGACAGGGATGTTGAGAAGGTTTACCAGTGAAAAGGGTGATGCCCAAATGCTCTGAAATTCGAGTGTGTAGGTGGCGGGTGGTTTGACTCACGTACGATGCGGAGCAGCATCGACACTTAAAAGAATAGACAACACTTGATTTCAGAGCTTGGGGCATTTTGTCCTTGAAAGGAAACAGGCTGGAGAGGCGTTTGGTGGAACGAAAGAAGAATTGTATTTTACAGTGTGGGAAAGCGGCACGACAAAGGCGATTGATTTGTGTGCGGATTTGGGATGAGTGTAGACCAGTAAATGGAAGGCCGAAATACAGTATTTTCTTGGGTACGGTATGAACAGGTGGTTTGGGTTGAAAGACTTTGTCAAGAAACATTTTTACACAGTGATCAAATATGTGACAGGGAAATGAATTGGAAATAAATAATCTGCGTGCTTTTTCGATTTCAGTATGGAAGTTTTCATAAGTGGAGCAAATATTAAAGAAGCGATGAACTAAACATAATATTATACTGCGTTTATATGTTAGTGGGATGAGGCTGTAGAAATTAGTAAAAAGACCAGTGAACGTAGGTTTTCTGTATATTAACGTGAAGAACTTTCCATTAGAGGGATGAATAGTATACTGTATTTCGGCCTTCCATTTACTGGTCAACACTCATCCCAAATCCGCACACAAATCAATCGTCTTTGTCGTGCCGCTTTCCCACACTGTGAAATACGATTCTTCTTTCAATCCACCAAACGCCTCTCCAGCCTGTTTCCTTTCAAGGACAAAGTGCCCCAAGCTCTGAAATCAAGTGTTGTCTATTCTTTTAAGTGTCGATGCTGCTCCGCATCATTGCGTGGAGTCAAACCACCCGCCACTTACGCACTCAATTTCCAGGCATTTGGGCATCACCCTTTGACTGGTAAACCTTCTCAACATCCCTGTCATTCCTCCATACTATCACGCAGCAAATCCACAGGACACACCGCCACCTTCGAGGATTAAAATGCCTTTCTTCATCAAACTCGAAGAACTCTTATTCCGAAAGCCTCTTAATCAACAAAATGAAACCATCTCTTAACGTCCAAGGAAACTCCGTTGTCCTTCAGTTGCTTTAATCTAATTTCGTCCGTCCTCATGTCTATATACTTTATGATTGTTTTTTATTTGGTTTTTTTTTGTTTCTTTCGTGTTTCTACTTATCCCACGTCATACCATCTTATCCAATATTTACTAACACGTTTTCATCCCACCATGTAATTTAATATTATGTAAATAGCTATTATATATATATTCCCCTATACTTGTAATTCAATATTGTCTGATGATGTCTTGAGAGTCAAGACGAAACGTTACACTTTTAAATAAATATTTCTTTTTATGCATTAAATGGCTCTTTTAAAAGCACTTTGCTGGGCTTTGATATTTATACTTAAAGTTCGCTTTCCGCCCGGTACATCCCTGGTCACAATTATGTTATGCTTAAAATATGGAGCATATCTAAAACAATTGGACTTTTTGCAAATACATGTATTCTTAACAAAAGTGGTTGTTGAGCAGAACATTGTTTTGTGAAAATCTTTGCTGTTAATAAAACAGCGTTAGAGTTTTTTATCTTTACATGTTCTCCTACATGTCTTAGGTCATCTTACACAACGTTTTGAGAATGCTTTCAGATCCATTCAATTTCAGACATCTCATCGGTATAGAAACAATCTTCACTTGGCATAAAGTCTTTTAGTTGTTTATCTCTTTGAAGACTTCTCATATTCTTTGTTTCGTATGGTCATGCAATATCCTTATATATGTTGATAAGAATTATTTATAAATAAAACAATGGAACGGTGTAATAAAGAAGATATTATTTTTATTGTACTTGCATGCTGAAAACAATTATTTTGTGTTGACGATTTATTGGATATATTTTGAGATATTCTCACCTAGGTTTAATTCACTACCAAAGTTTATTCGTCATTACCAATAATGATATTTTACTATAATGCGGTTATGAGTTGTTTTGAAACAAAACTACTGAAGGCACGACGTTTTGCAAGTTGGTATAATAATGCAGAATAATGATTAATGATGACTGTTAGTGGTTGTTTTTGCATGGGTTGCTAATCAGTTAATCACTATGACTATGTAGGAAGCAATGATGTAAATGTACATTTGTACCACTGAAATATAATTAATTGATAGATTTTGCACTTTTCTTTCTATTATTATATATGTATATCTGCAAAGTTATGATACCTGAGGTTATATACAAGTATATTAATTTTTCTGCAGTTAGATTTTCCCTTGTGAGCACAGTTAACCTGTCTTGTGTAAAGCTAAACGATTGGTTGTAAAATACAGTATTTGTATTTATTTACGTAACAATTATAATGTAGGCATTACGCTTTTAGGCATCAATGGAAGATTTATGTATAGCGCTGATGATGCTTGTACAGGACAATACATACTGTATCATCAGTCTATATAAAGAAGTCTGAAATTAAAGTTACAAGGCTGACCTAAAGTTTTACAATAGTAAAATGAAAATGTATACGGCTGCGTAGAAACTCATATTATGGTTATGCTGTATTTGCGGTATACTAATTTGGACAAAGTTTGTGTACCCTAAGTTCAAATTTTACTTGTGCTTAATAAATACAAAACAATTGCACTTATGTAACCTTCTATGAATGCAACGATTTTTCACCTCATGATGGTAATTTTACAATTGTACGAAAATGAACGTTCACTATTCTCACTTATAAAATTCATTTCTTAGCGTAAGAGCTAATTTATTAACGTTGATGAGCTTGGAAATGTTTTCTACGTTGCATACAACATACGTGTCGCACATAAACCAATCACAACGTTACGACAAGTACTAACGAGCTTAAAGGACAAAGAACAACCCAACGAACGACAAGGTGCAGTTTACAAAATAAACTGCTCCGACTGCCACGCCTCCTATATCGGGGAAACTGGCAGGAACTTAAACATAAGACATACTGAACACAAACGAGCTACAAAGAAACAAGACAAAACTAATCACATTGCCGAACATCACCGAATCACAAAGCACAACATTGACTGGGACTCGGCAAAATGCATTACTTACAGTACTGACTATAGACAACGGCTAACATTAGAAAGTTGGTATACCAACTTGGAACAAACCCTCCTGAACAGATCACAGCAATTACCGGCACCTTACAAACGACTTATTCACAATACAAACAAACGATCGACTAAAAACATTACACTTCACACTAATTCACAATGGCAATACACGATTGACACTCACACATTACAACCAAAAACATCACACCTAAATCACACATCACAAATAAAAATAAAAATATTTTACTTTACGCTAATTCACAATGACAATACACATTTCCAGTACACACAATACAATGACGTAAGAACCAGATAACAAATACGGCTAACCTGATGTTTACTCCTCATTTGACTCTGAAGATGACTACCGCTAAGGTTGTCGAAACGTCAGTGAACAACAACAAAAAAAATCCTTCTCAGGACTATACCAACCTGGACGATCGACATTTACAAACATGTAACGATACTCCCGGGTTCAAACCATTTACTTTATTACGATCACATTTAATGTTCAACTTCAATGTCTATTGTCTACGATCTATCTTACAATGGTTAAACTACTTCTATTTATACAAAGACATGGATATCTTTGTTTCTTTACTAAATGTGGTTAATTTGCAATAACAGAAACTATTAGGAACTATTTATAAATATTGTGATTATTGCTCATAAATATCTCTTAAAATAATCATTTAGTTAGTTATACTTGACTTAATTATTTACTAATTACAGGAAGAATATGAGAGCATATCTTAACACATATGTCACGGAGAAATTTTAAATGAATTAGACGCAAAGGAATCGAAGTTTGTTGTCAATTATTACTACTTAGAAGAAGACAATGGAACAGAATATGTCTATTTAGTAGAATGTGACAGACCTATGTGAAGAATCGCTGGAGGATTTTGTGCAATCAGAATCCAATAGTTTGGCTTATCTTCAAAAATCTCTTCCCGAAATTCTCAGACACATTTTAAAAGATTATCTGATCCTCATAGTGGCGAAAATCCTATTCTCTATCGGGATTTAAAGCCTTCTAATGTACTCCGAGATGCACAAGGAAAATTTCTGATAGCTGACTTTGGTATTAGTCGAATATTGAAAGATGGAAGTAAGACAAGAGTAAGTAATGCTAAAAAGGGAACTCCGTATTGGATTGCTCCTGAATCATTTTGTACAGATAAAAATCCGATTGGCAAAGGACGTTACAAAACAGAGTTGGATGTAATGGTAGTTGTTAGCAATTTTAGTTTAAAAACTTTTTTTTGAATTTCTTTCATCATATTACGTTGTGATTTATTTTAGACTGCAGGAATGGTAGCTTTTTATGTTGCCACAAAAGGAGACCAACCTTTTAAAACTGAAGAGAATATATTGAAAGGAAACACTGTTGGCTTGGAGAAAATAGATAATGTCGATCTAAAAGATCTACTTTCGTGGATGCTACAGCTAAAACCGGAAGACAGACCATCGGCCAACGAAGCGTTAAAACACCCTTATCTACAAACCGATGAGGTGAATTTTGATTTGCTATGTGATGTTAGGAATGAACCAGAAATAAAGACATCATCTCGACATTCTCTTACCTCAGATGTTTGTGAGCAGTTGAATCTTTCAATAGATTGATGGACCGTATCGATCATGAAGTCTTTAAACATTTCAATAAAGTATCCGACTCTACATGGTTAGGTTGCCTAAGATTTTTACGAAACGTTCGCCAGCATTGGCATGATAAACCTCGTCCACAATTGTCATGGAAACTATCAAGAGTATTTTCTTTAACTCTTTAAGGAACTGCCTGTTCTAGTTCACAGAACCATAAGATTGAGTGACTGGAAGGCAAGACCTGTTCTAAAGAAACATTTTGCAAGTAAAACAGAGAAATGAGTTTTTATTTTTGATGGCCAAGTTATAAATTAGGGGTCCATGACACTATATTTGTTATTTTCACTCTAGTTCTCCTCTTCATTTACTGTACTTAATGCATGTATGTTTTGAGTTCTGTATATTGCCGTTGCACACATTTTTTGGACAGTACACATCCTGTAAAACTTGAAAAAGGCAAGGGAAAGAAAAGCGAAGGTGTTATTGATTACGCTGATCTTAACGGTAAATAGCTATGTAACAACAAACTAATGCTGTGTACGTGTCACTTTTCTTAAATATTCTACCAAAAAGCGTAATCTCTCCACTTGTATCTGGTGCATCATTTTCTAACTTTGTGCAACTGATAATAACGGTTCAAGCATGTGTGATAGTACTAGCAATAGTCAAAAATCTTTAGACGAGATCAACAATTTGTCAGATATCCAAAGATAGTGAAGAGTACCTACGAATCATGGTGATTCAGAGACTTTGGCATATTTTTATCGTATGGTAAAAAGAAACTTATAGCTTATTATGTTGTCAAACTTGTAAAGAACACATATGCAATAATAAATATTGCGTATCTTTTGCTTTAAGTCAGCAAATGCTTTCAAATCGTATACATTAATGCTGAAATTTTGATTTTAGGCTTGAGTAAAACTGTAAATAATGTGCATTAAATGTAGAAAGTATTAAAGGAAAACATACTATAGTAAAAAGTAAAAGTACTGCGTACCATTCGAAGGCATAACCAAATACCTATAGTTAACATAATTTTTTGAAAATCCTCTTTCGATATGGTAAAAATACGCTCAGGTTTTTTCTAGTAAGACCATCTTACACAGCAGTCACGACGAAGTCAGTATGATCAAGTTTGTTTGCAAAATATATGACACTGTCGTAAACAAACAACCATTTACAGTTCCCAAAAATTGAATTGACGAACAGGATGATAGTCAAAGATAGCCTGATTTTAACCTGCTAAATTGTTTTGAAACTCTTCCAGCTTCATTGGAGACAATCCAGAAATAAAAATTTCTCGTGTATACTAAAAAATATACTTTGTTATACGCATCCAATTCAAATCGTAGGCATAATTATCGATCTTTTACCATTCCTAGATTTCACTCAAATATTTACCATTTTTTTTCAGTTCATACAGGAAAGACTCGTCAACATAATTATCTGGGTAATTTTGTTCTTCGTACAAGATTTTTCTCCATGGCTTTTTCACCATTATAAGAAAATGTTTCTTAAAAAATAACAGAGTGTGACTTTGCTTGATAGACAGTCAAGTCATCCCACCTGAGATAGCAAAGGTTATAAGGGTGAAATTAATTACTTTGTATGAAGCATGTATATGTAAAAATGCACATTAGCTCAACCAACATAACAGCATAGTTAAATTTCAAAATTCTCATACAAAACGAATGATTTTTCCAACAACAACTAGGCCATTCCGAAACCCACCAACCAATGACCAGTTCATTGTATCCCATCTGTCAGAATCATTGGTCAGAATGGATTGCAAATCGGCAATACCAGGGCAATACCAAGCAATACTATCCATTTAACATCATGTACACTAACTTTAGTCTTAAAATATTACATGATAAATAGTCATTATGTCATCACAGTCAATTTGTATTCCTAAAGTACAAATGTACAAGAACAAAAAAATTACAAAATACAGTGTTGGCTAGAATTTTCTCTATAATTCAGCAACTAATATACACATTTACTTCTTTACCGACCAAACTATCAATAGCTTGTTCATTTTGATGTTAAAAAGAAGACAAATAGTGTTATTTCTTCTTCATCGAGCTGCTTCATAAAGATGAAAATTTGCTGAAAAACAGGGGAGAGCAGGACCCTGGTAAGACGCTGGACGAGGTTGGGGAAGCGGCCCAGCGGGGGAAAAACCTTCACACGTCATTACCACTGTCATTGCGATGAATGGGAAGTGGGAATTGTAACTTTACCAAGGAATGTTTAGGTGTAGAAAAGCTCTAGAATAGTTTACAACGAAATCGAAGTGCTTGTATTTCGGATATTCGGTGATAATGGCGATGTCTAAAGCGCATCGCAAATTTTTAAGAAAAAACAGGGAATATATCAAAAGAAATCTTGAGGTTGATGCTGTTTGGCCACAAATGACGGACGTTCTGGATCGTAACTGCGAAGACAAAATTCGAGCTGAATCCACCCCTGAAGCTCGTACTTTGGAACTTCTTAATTTGCTGCATCGGCGAGGAGATGAAGCATTTATATCCTTTATTAGAGCGACACTTAAAGTTCAAAGATGGGTTGGGGAATACTTGGCTGACTTAGCCGGACTTAATGTGAATGATAAACTTCCACGTGCTACGCAAAGTACGACATTTTTTATTTCTTATACTGTTATATATTACGTACTGTGAGCTTGCTTACCTGTCTATTATTTATTCATTTTGAAGATTTATAATTCTCTAGAAGATAAGAATGCAAATATCGACTTCACTTACAGAAGTTTTAATGAAAAACCATCGTATATATAAACAGAAACATCAGAAAGTTTTAAACCTTTTATTTTACCATTGTCTTATTTAGGAGAAACTGAAGAGCCTGGAATGAAAGAGGTCCATCGTCAAATTCTTGTGAGCCATTTGTCCACATTTAAGCAATCACTTAATGTTGCTCAAATGGTTGAAAGTTTATCCAGCAATGTGGCGATCACAAGCAGAAATCCTGGTGTCAACATCAGAGCTGTGTTGCAAGAGCCATCTAACGACAAAAAAGTGGAAAAGCTTATATGTGATGTGCTTCCGCGTTTAGGGCCTGATGCATTCCAATGTTTTTTCGAAACCTTAGATATAAATCAGGATGATCTCGCCTATGATTTGAGGCAGTCAGTAAGAGGTCAGTAAAAAATGTAATAATTATTCCTCCTTGTTATTACATATAAATGTTTATCCCTTTACATATCCTGTAAGTCAAATTCACCTCACTGATTTGTCAGCTACTCATCCCGACGTAAAAATTTGGGTAACAGGCAAGCAGGAGTCAATAGATGCTTATTTGACTGAGCTGAGAATGTTTAATCTTGAAAGTACCTGTTCACATCTACCTTACCATGTTCAAAGAAAGTTAGAAGAACGCTTAAATGAAGGCAATGAGTTATTAGAGAATGACTGGAGAAGGTGATTTTCAAATTAATTAAAGTCTTTTTAAACTCAGTTGATGTTTTATCTTTATTAGGTAACTAAATGTTTTTAGTAAAGTTTTATTCCTTATCTGAACTCAAATTGACTTTTTTTCAAGCCTGTACAAAGAAGTGAATTTGCCACAAGGTAAAGAAAACATCATTGCTGAAAAATTCTCTGGTAACCCCACACGATATGTGTTGGACACTTGGTTTGATAGAGATGGACAACATGCCAAAATGTAAGAGCACTGCTCACAGCATTGAAAGAGTGTAAGCAAGAGGGTTGCTCATGAGATATAAAGAGATTTGTATGTTAAGCTGCCTGATCAAGTTCATAGACACCGTTGATGGAATCTGTGACATGCAGTTAAATGAAAGCAGAAAAGAACTGGTAAGTGAAGTTGGAATGAGTGGTTGTCTAATTTTCAAAGCAAAGCACCATGTTGTCCAGATTGAGCAGTTGCATCAAAGTATAGTTTTGTACATACAACCAGACCACAAGTTTTGTTTATGCTATGTAAATCTCAGATCATTATTGTTCTTTTCCCATATGTTTTATTCACAGTAAGTAAACACATTAAAACTTACATAGCAGGACTAAATTTGTGGGATAGCAACGCCACTACTCATCTGCAAGATTTAGTTTTGAATAATGACTCCAAGCTCTTGGGTTTGGTCTAACACTTTCATGTCAAAAGTAAGGTTGAAGATAAACTTTAGAGTTTGCTTTACATGATTGCTTATATTTACGTAAATGTATTATTATTAAGGTGTAAATGCAGTAACGTAGCCAGCTGACTTTATACATATCCAAATATTTTTGTGTTTAGCTATAGAACAATAGATTTATAAAAAAGTGAATAATGGTTATCCATGAGAATTTACATAACCATAGGAAATGTGCAGGCTGGCTGTTGGGTGCGTGTTAAATAAATATTTCAACTTGGTTTTAATTAAGATATCCTAATTTAGTCTCCATCTTAGTAAAGCTCTGAGGCTCGTGAAGGAGATACACAGAGAGTTCAGTTGATAAATCAATTGACAAGTTAGTGTTGATGTTCTCTCGCCCTACGGGTTCGGTCTTTACAAAAAGACATCGGTCCGATATTTCTCCGTAAAGACCTCGAGCTCGGTTATTAAGGGCTTAATAACGCGCATGATTGGTAGATGATTTGTCATTATTGTATGACAACTAATCATGTTACAAATTTAGCGTCGCGCTTGAGAAAATTCCGCCTGGTTAAAAAGGCTTTAGATTTATTTGTGATAGAACGGTTGTGGTTGAAGATTGTGCTTTTAATATTGGAAAATTTGTGCTGTGCAAGATTTTGTAATAATGATTTAAAGAGGGTGGACAAAATACTTTTCTATCAGGCAAAGAAATTGTTTGCAACGTTGGTTGTTACATTCTTACTATAAGGTTAAGTTAAACCACTGAATCAATATTAAATTGGAATACTCAGTGAAATCATCTACTTGATGATTTGTACATAAATTCACTGATTAACAGAGACATAGTTTTATTATTTTCATTTAACTGAAAATCATCAATAAGCGTGAAACACTGGGTAGTGTAATATTGTGAGATTTCTCCCTTTTATTGCTTAGTCATGTTACTTATATACAGATCATTACTTAATTATAATATACGTAGTATGACGTACGAAATACTAATAATTTGAATAATAACTATACTACACCTCTCCCCAAACTAATTAAATATATTTTTTTTTTGTATTTTGTATCTATAAGTTCATATATGAAAATATTAATTGTTTCTTTTATAGCTATCTCTATATTAACTTTCAACTGTCCGTATCGAATAGGGGCTTTTCGTACGCAAAGGATACCGCCGTTCTTTTTCCTTTATACTTTCCTCAATGGGTTCTTCTAGACCTTTCCATTTCGATCTTCTTGAAAAATGACGAATTACGAGTAAGCAACATTCTATCTTTTCTTCGCTGTTACCATTGAACCTTTTCTTTCCACGACTTCACATGGCTTACCATCATAGGGTGTTTGTTGTTTATAGTGGTGGTATCTTTTCTTTTATCACCTACTTTAATCTCACTTGTCTTTTACGTTCCTGTTATTGTCTGCGTATGTAATTTCATCTTCAATTTTGCTCTTTCATCGTGTACTCAAATTCTTTCCTCTGTATCTTCATAAAATGGTTCTTCAGGTAAACGTACTTTCATTGGTCGACAAAGATAAAGCCATAGATGGAGAGGTTTTGGTCGAACTATGAGGTGTGGCACGATAATTTCGCAGGAACCTGTGGATTTCTTGCTTCAATTTTTCCCTCCATTATCGCAGCCTTTATTGTCTTTTTGATAGGTACGCATAAATCTTTCCACTTCCCGTTGGCTCATTGCCTAGAAGGAGTAACTTTTCTGTGTTTAAATCCCAAATGCTTTGAAAACTCGTAAAATTCCTTGCTATTGAATGGCGGTCCATTGTCTGAACGTATCGTATCTGGTATCCCGAACTCCGAAAGTATCTTATCCAAACAGAGTATAGCAGTCTTTGCGGACGTTGATCGGATTACTTCTACAATGGGATATCTGGAAAATCATCATACAAAACAAACAAATATTCACCTGTGCCTGTAGGATACACCAAATCCATACTTAGTTCTTTCCAAGGATCCAGCGGACATTTTCAATGGTTCCTTTTCACTGTTGGAGTTGTAATCTGACAGGCTAAACGTTTAACTTTTCATTAACTAACTCATCTATGCGACCATACCTTTTCACGTAATAACGCTCGTTTTTGACATTCCCATATGACCTTCATGAGCAATGTTCACTACTTTCTCTCGTAAACTTTCTGGTGTATGATTATTTGATGTTTTCGTAGAATTATTCCCGAAGATATGCAAAGTTCATCTAAGTTTCTCATATGAACTAAATTCTGCTTGGTTTACTCCTACCATCTTTGAACTCTCAAACCATCTACCTGTTTCAATGGCTCGGATTACTGCTCGAAGAGTAATGTCTTCTCTTTAGCTTCTTCAGATCTTTCCTGCTGATTGTTCTTGGAACGAGTTCGGTGTAACGTAATGGCAAATTCTTCACTACTTTCTCTTGCCGGTTGTTTAGTTTCTCATCAGATAAGGGATGACGTGAGAGAAAATCTGCGGATTTTCCGTTCAGGTTGAACAGTTTCAAAATCATATGGTTTGCAATCGCAAAGCCCATCGTTCTAAATCTCGCAGATGGCTTTGATGATGGATTTGTGATATTTTCACTAGCGGCTTGTGATCAGTGACGATGGTGAACTTTCCTCCGAACAAATATAAATGAAAATGTTCGCAGGCCCATACTATAGCTAAAGCTTCTCTTTCCAAGTGAGAATTTTTCTCTGTGGTAGTTAGTGATTTACTAGCGTAAGCAATTATTTTCCTTTTTCTTCTCCCTTTTCCTCTGCGCCAAGACTGCTGCATTACCAACTGGACTAGCATCTGTGAAAACCTCCGTATCACTATCGGATCAAAATACGCACTTTCTGGCCCATCTGTTAGTGCTTTCCGTAGGGCTTTCATTGTGTCTTCTTGTTCTCTTGTCCACACAATGGGGCATCTTTCTTGATAAGTCGACGTAACGGCTCCGTAATTGTGGCATAAATGTGGAATAAATCGGCAGCAAAAGTTGGTCATGCCTAACAAACTTCATTGCTTCTCCTACATCTTTAAGATTTGTGCATTCCTTAATTGCTCTCACTTTATTGGGATCCGGCACAATACCGTTCTCTGAGAACACATACCCTTGGATATTAAATTTCTTTTCTTAAACTGACATTTCTCTTTCTTAAGAGTTAGTCCTCGATCTTTAATTCGTTGTAATACCGGTTTCAAATTTGCATCGTGATCTTTCTCGTCTACATAAACACCATAATGTCATCACAATATTAATCCACCTCTCAGTCCATTCAACGTTTCTCTGATGGCATTTTGGAATATCTCTGCAGCACAGTTTATTCCAAAATTCAAACGTCGAAAATCTCCGTAGACCAATGTGTGTTGAGAAGGTTGTCAAATATCTTGATTCTGCATCGAGCTCTAACTGGTTTATAGCCTTGATTTAAGTCCAATTTGCTAAACCATACAGCACCATTTAGATCACTAATTTTCGCCAATCGTCGGAGTCAAGTGTCGTTCTCTCTTTATCCTTTGTTTTGCTTGTCGCATATCTATACAAACTCGGACCTCCCCATTTTGTTTTGGTACGACCACTTGGTGAAACCAAGGTGTTGGTCATCCGTTTCTCTATGACTCCGCGTTCTTCGTCTCGTTTTAACTGTTTCTCCAAGTCTTTTCTCACATGAAACGGTACCCGACGATGAGGTTGTGCGACAGGTTGTACGTCCTGATCTACGTGTAGATGAACTTGAAACCCTTTCAATTTTCCCAGTCCTTTAAAGATTCTTGATATATGTTAATTAGCTCTTCCACTTTCGTATCTTCTCTCACTTTTTCTTGTGCCTTTTCTTTAATGGGTTCCTGTTTAGACTTTGTAGTGCCTTCTATGGATGCGACTATTTGTACCAGGCCCAATTTTTGAGAACTTTTCCAGCTTATCAAGCAACCCGTATTCCCATTAACAACAAAAATGTCTCCAACCCATATAGTTTATCGGTTTCGACCACACACTGACATTTCCTTTAATTGATAGTTGTTTCTCCGACCCATAGGAAGATTTTCTCATTTGCTTGCTGCAATATTGGCTTTTCTTCAATTTGTTAAAATTCACTTCATCCGAGTTTACACTGGAACCGGTATCTGCCATGACTGACACAGGGTACCATTTATTAACTTTAAATTTCGGCGGCTTTTGTTGCGCCGTCAACGTTGAAAATACATATTCATCTTCCATGCTTGATTCGGACGTTATTTCTTGCACCGTATTCACTTGTCGAGGTCTTACTTGATTACGTTTTATCTGTCGTTTCGCTTTGTTGTTGATTCAGCGCGAGAGCGGATAATTGTCTTGCATCAGCTCTTTGCCTCTTCGATTCTCATGGCAACAAACTTGAAAATGGTTCCATTTTAAACACTGTCGACATTTCTTTCCATGCCGGGCAATTTGTTTCCCTGGACGATGTTCACGAGCACAAAATTTGCATTTGGTCTTCGATGAATATTCGAAAGCATTTTGAGGTTTTATCCGTGGGCGTCTTGATTTGCTTTCTTTTATGCCAAATTCGATTCGTGCTTTCGATGCCTTCTGCTTGTGTTTTTGACATCTCCATTGTTTTTCCCATTTGTAGTAATTTCTCCATCGTTATTTCGGGGTCTGCTAACGCTTTTCTCCGCAATTTTGAAGATGAACCATTTTGTATGATCTGCGTTTTTATCTCTCTGCTTTCTTCACGAAATTTAGTAATATTATCATACTTAAATGTTTCATATTTACATTGCTTCAGCTTATGAAGAAAAGGAATCGTTGCTATACCTATTAAATGATAATGGCAGTGATGCTGATATTAGTATAACGTCTTCTACATCAGGACCTAGTAAGTAATGGAATTTTATATGCAAATATTTACACAAACGTAATCTTTATTGCCTTTTAAAATATTAAGTAGAAACAAGAATGCAATGTAACCATCGAGATTCGTTTATATCTTCCTTATTCACATACTTTTGTTAACGGTCAAAAATGTCAGATGTAATGAAGAGTGAAATAACTCAGCAAGTTTTCCTTTTATCTTGCTCTGATGTATTAACCGTGTTAGCAAACATTTGCCCAAACATTTCCATGTTTTTCAACGCTAAATACAAACAATAATTTATAACCTAATAAATTAATTTTAAAAGATATCGTTATATGTAGCCAACTAAAATCTTAATTTAAAAATAACAATGCAAATGTTGTATCAAAATCATGAAAATTTTAAACTTTGTAAATATAGAAATTTGATCAGTATGTATAGAAAGTGAAAACTATGATGTTAAAGTAAATTGTGAAACCATCATGATCAACGTGTCTGTTACATTTTATACGTTACACGTACACAAATGAACCCAAATAAGAATATTGTTGAAAACATCCTTTTCAAAACATATTATTTGATAATTGATAGCCAATAAAAAGCCAATAATTGGTCAAAGATTACTTACAAGCTTTTCAAGTAACCTTAAAACATTAGGTTCTTTAATTCTGAACTCTTTTCACGAAAACAGGTGGCTCATCTTTGATTTTTCAATCTCAATGTTTCCGCATTTAAAGTGAAATGATCCTGACGTGCCTCAACGTCCTTTGAACTAAATATCCTCATCCGTGTGTTTGGGAGCAGGGAAATACGCTGTTAATACAAAAAACTGAAACAAAGGCAAACATGTTGTTATATTTTTATGTTATTATTTAGTACCAAGTCAGTTCACCTTAACGGGTAAAGCGGTGTAGGTATTTCAAATCTTGTCTAATAGGCACATTTTTTTGATGTGCGTATAATTAGAAAATTAAATTGCTTCTTGATACATTCATTTATTCCTTTCTAAATAGTCTACTTTACTTTTTGATTGAAGAATTGCTGTCTCAACCATGGAAATGTTATGATAAATCAATAATGCACCAGCAAAAGTTCAGAATGATGGAAGAATATGGGCAGAAAAATCCAGTATGATATAAAGAAAATTCCAGTTGAATAATTTAAGAAACAGTCCATTCATAAACAATTTGTGTTTTGCTATAGGTAGATTTACGCAAGATTTATTGGAATTAATTTTTATTTGTAATAACTGTTTATTTGTAGACGTTACTTTTTTCAAACACATTTCAACTTTACGATTGTGAGCATACTAAAATGCAGTCATTTACGAAATCTCCTTAGAGAAATCTCCATAAAGCATATTTTTAAAGTTGTGATCTTTTGAATTTGAAATGCTACATTGTAAAAGAAATATTTATTTCTCTCAAGGTCACGAGCTGCAGAAGAAGGCATTCGTGCTGTCAGACGGAAGCAAAAACGGTGAAGAAGTGGAGGTTGTTGAAACTTTTACAGGTGAGAGAATTTTTACGAACATAGTTGTGACATGTTCTTTACTGGATAAAATTTACAAGGTGCTATTCTAGATTGCATTTGTAAATTCTTTCAATACCCTATTAACCATTTTAAGAACATTTCACGCATCAGGCGTTTGATTCAATCGCCAATAGTTTGTATTGCGTTTTTCTATAAGATAGAAAGTCAGTCTCTTGGCGATTAAATCGAGCTTCCAATGCATAAATGAGAAACCCTTAACATTTTGTTATTACCTTTATACAAAACAAAAGACTTCACAAATTCAATTTAGTTTTTTTGAGCGTAACAGTCTTTAATTCCATGTACAAATCCCCACTTCTGTTTTCAACACATATCTTTCAGTCTCTTATGGTTAAGGAAATCAAGACAAGTTCTCGTATCATGAAATTATCAAAATGAACAAAGATCTTTTTCTTGTTATTTTAAATAGTTTCATCTTAAATAGTTATGTAATTAAGTGTGTCATTGACAAGCGCAATATCACATTTTTCAATGAATTCTTGCATTTTAGATGAACGGACTATTCTAAATTCTAATACTGTATATCTTACATGCCAATACCCTTAAGGTTTTTTTCTTCTCATTAGGTGTTGCATGGTAGCTCCTTTGTTTGATTCAGTTGTTAATTTAGAATCTCCTGTGTTTTAAATCTAGTCGACTGCAATCAATGGTTAATCACAAACATTAAACAGTTATACGATAAAACGTTCCGTTTGCTGTGATTACAATAAGCGGATTGTGTTTTGTTGTTTTATGTTTTAAATTTCTTGGTAGAGATTTTGTACGAAAAAGTAACTTCCAATTACGTTCACATTGACAAAGACCCTTGCCTTACTGAGTTTAAGGTGTGTCCCTGATTGTGCTAGCTTTATCATAATTGGTGAAGTAAACTTAATTTGTTTTAAATCAAGTGTATAAAGATGAAACTTGACGATAGTAGTCTTTCTATACCTTGTTATAGCTACCTTGTTGCTGTGATAATTTTTTATGATTTTGTTGTTTTGTTGGGTAATCATAATTTTAGAATCTGTGAATAATAAGCTTTCCCCTAAGATGTAGCTACTTTGCTACTATTATGATAAATATTTTTGTTTCGACAATAATTTGTAAAAAAAATCTTATTTGGCGTGCATCAAATGATTATCGTAGATTTTTGACGATTAACTTCATACAGTTGGATGTTTTAAAACATTGATACAAGTAACGTTTAACAAGGATGAGTACAATTTCTGAAAATTTTCTTCCTGCGTATGTTTAATTTTTATAAATTTTCATCTATGTTAAGGCTAATAATCACGGAAAGTTTCTTTGTTGACGTGTGGCGTTGAAGGTTATGATGTTACATGTAATTTAAACGCCTTAATGATTGGATATTAAAACTGTGCAAGAATTCTATTTTAATCTTTTCATTTCAATGAGTGAGAAAGACGAAGATGTGATAAATATGTACTTATGATTGCAGAATTTCCTAAGTTCGATATTCACCTTGGATAATACAAATTTAGTGTTGCCTTCAACGGTAGAAAAGTTACTTCATGGATGACAGTAAGTTATATACAATCAAATTTATGCAAGAAGACCCTCATGTAAATTGTGTGTAAGCTATACATGCAAAAATATGGATATATTACCAACATTTTATCGTAGAACATACATACATTTTATTCATCTTTTTTATCTCGATAATTGTCGTCTAGAGATTTTATGTCTTTATGCACCAACTATAGAAATATCTTTGGTTTTCTGAGTCGAATTTTATTGACTAAAATACTGTCACACACGTTTGGTGACTTTTAATTGACAGAACGTTACGAGTCTAAAAGGTGGAAGGAACGGAATATTACCCCGACTATATGAGAAAGTAAGTTATACTATCAAATTTATGTATAAGGCACTTATAAAATGTGTCTTCCATACGTAGTGATATACTTTCTAGCATTCAACATATACTCCTTGATTATGCTTTCCTTGTTATCTCGTCATCTCAGAATATTTTACATCTCTTTGCGCCCAATATTTTTAAGCATTTTCGATTCAAAATCCCTTCATGAGATTGTTTGTGTAAGATAATAATAATATCCATAATAACTATAAAAATAGCTTAACAAGCATTTGTGCAAACTGGACGATTTTCCAAAGCTATTATTCACAAAGTTTAGGTGTTGACCAACACAAAATAAGTCAGTTTTAAGTTAATGTCGTTGTCAAAAAAGAGCTTTTGAGAATTCAGATGAACCTTCGGCGTACAAGTTTCAGGCACCGCGGAGGATCGATAGTGGGAAGGGCTCATATTCATATATTTATGTTCTAATCAGCAAACAATGGATTTCAAAAGATCTAAACCTGCATATATGAATATTAGCCCTCTCAATATCGATCCTCGCATTATGTTCCTTAGTCATTTTGAGCAAAACGCGACAGTGTTGGATATGAATAGATCAAAATATTGTATCATTCTGATTACAAATTGTATTACAACGCGAAATAATATGGGTCAATTTTGGTGAATCTCGGCAGAAATAGATCCCTCCGCCATTTTTTCTGATCCGTTCCGCCGTTCAGTGCTTTTTATTTGTTTGAATTTTGTTTCCTGAAATAAATTTAGAGGAGTTTGTAAAGATGCGTTCTGGCGGCCCCCATATGCCTTCTGGTAGTGGTGTCTTGCCTTAAATCATTCGTGGGGTATTCCCTCCTTGCTGTACCCCAGCAACAACGCCAATGGTTCGTGTTTCATAGATATACATAGGATCAATACATTGGCGTAAGAACAGATTTCAATTTGAGGGTGGGGTTAAAATCGACGAGTATAGTCTATACTCCACCCTTATTTTTTGAAGCTTTAGGGAGTCTAGTAGAAACATTGAAAATGGAGAAAGTCATGAAGCCTTTATAATTTAGTTGTACTTCATTACAATACACAAAGTGCAAGTATAGTTCAAAAATAAATACATTGCACCAAAGAGACGAATAACTAATAGCCTAAACGATTGGTCGTACTATTTGCCAGCTACGAATTCTAGTTCAATGTCAGACTAAGATGTTTCACTCTCTGAAGAGTTAAAATGGACCTTGTTGTATGCATTAAATGGGCACAAAGAAGTTTATATGAGCTTTACTACACATACAAGGACGTACATTTTCCTGATGTCGCTTATCGTGTTAATTCAAGTAGTATCCATAATTCGCATTTGATCTTATAAATTTTGCTCGTTTGCGGTCTTTACTAAATCGACAGCATTAATATTGTTTTCCTTCTTAAGTCAATTTCATTCGTTCTTGAACTTTCTGTAGTTTGTGTGATGGGTACATAACATAAAACTATATGCACCTATCACAAGCAAGTATTTATTGAGATAGCATCATGAGATGTTGAAACATGTTTATTTTAAAAACTTGTCAGTATTAATTACCGTTATGCTTCGCTTGATTTCCTTTTTCTACAAATATTTTCAATGTTTCAATTCAAGCATTCATGGAAAAGAGTCTGCTTACAGGAGACATATACAGTAAAACTTTTACTAAAATTATGAGAGAAAATACTTTGGATGGGAAATTATTAGTGGTGCAAACAAGGGTGAAGTTGAATATATAACGTAAAACAGACAAAGTTCATATTTAGGCTTAAAAGATCATGCCTCTCCGTTGAAGAGAGTAATGTTGACAATAGAAAACAGGTTACAAATGTCTCATGAAACCCTTCAAAATGCTGGTGTATCAGCGAATAAAAACTCGTGAAGCTAAAGAGAGTCGTGTGGACGACGTGATTCGTGTTTCCCACGAGAATCGTGGATCTAATATGGGACGAGATGCTAATGAGTATCGTGTTGTTGAAGAATGGAAGTTTTCTTCAGAGTTTCATGAAAACAGAAAAAAGGAAAGCGGTAATTTCAATGTTGATGATAAGTATGGAGAATATGTGAAGCTAAAGTCTATTGCTCCATTACGTACAGAAAGATTACAGCCAATCAACTTCTCTTCCAAAGAGACAACCACAATGACGTCACGTAGTATGGCGTCAGATAACAACCGTTCAAGAAACATGATGCTCAGTGATTCATTAAGAAAGTATACCAAAATGGGTTACAGTCAATATGGCGATGATGTGTCTAGTGTTCATCATCAACAACCTGTTGTTGTTGTGAGAACATTTGATCATCCGGGAAAGTCGTACTATTACAGGTCAGTTGTACTACCGCAGGTCAGCAATACTATTATAGGTCAGTCATACTACCACAGGGCACTTAAACTATTACAGATCAGTTGTACTACCACAGGGCAGTTATACTATTACAGCTCGGTTGCAGTACAAGTCACTGACTCGAATTCAACTGCACACGTAATCCTACTCTGACATTTATTTACCTCCAATTTGGCTTACTATGCTTAATTTTATCAAACACACACGTTGTCTTTCAGGGATGTGTTGCTATCGCTAATTGGAGGGGGGCTCTTATTCATATATGCATGTTATAGATCCGTAGATAACAATACATTTCAAAAGATATTAATTTAGCATAACATGAATATATAAGAGCCCCCCCCCCTTAATTAGCGAAAGCAATACATCGCTGTTGTCTTTTCCTTTGGTTTTTAAAGTTTCTAAAATTACCATTGCTCTTTATAGACAAAAGAGATCATTGCCAAGAAACCACTCAAGACTGAACTACAAAAAATCTTTTAAATCTTCGACGACTCGCAGACGAAAATCTTTATCATCTGCCTGGACAATAAACCTTCAAAATTCGCCGTCAAGACATGAAAATTATGAAGATGTTCACTCTTATTACTTACCACCTAGAAGAAAAGCCAAATATCAAGGCTCAACTCGTACACGAGATTACATGAATCACGAAATGAAAGTTTGTGAAGCTAAAAGTCATGGTTCTTGTAATAGTAAAAGATACATTGTTGAAAACCGTCCAAAACTATCCCATGCTAAAAATGCTAAAACCTCGACTTATTACAAAACTTGTGATCGATCGCAACTCAGCTCACATTTAGATGCGTCAGAAGTAGATTATAAATCATCGCCTGTCCTTCACGACCAAATTAAGGATCAAAATTTTCAAGCAATTTATTCCGACAAAAAGTGGGAAGATAAATCACATGACCCAGAAATCATGTCCATTGTCAGTGGCAGTGAGTTTTCTCAATTCTTACCCACTCCTCCACGGCCAAGCGACAGCCAATCAGATATCTCTACGGATGGATATTCCCGTGGTAGTTATAAATCATTTAAAAACAAACTTGAAAGAAACGTTATAGAAAACAGGGAGGTTGTTGTTGAAGACAGAAGTCAATCAGATCATCAAAAACATAATGAATCATTTGAAGAAACTTTATAGAGGTATTTATATGTAAAATAAAGTAAATGTATTTGATGTTTTATTTGTTTGTCTTTGCACTGCTATGGATCTATTCTATTTACTTAACTTAAGTTCAAGAATCTTTCACATCATTGCTTTATGTTGTCTACAGTCAAACAACATTTTCTTTTTTCTTTAAACAGCGTTTACGAAATGGCGAGACGCGCGAGAGGAATGGTAAGGAAAATAGAAAAAACGTCGGTTCATTTAATAAAGAAACGAGCAGTTCATCGCGGACTCATAATGACAGCGGTTTTAGAAAAAAACTTCATGTGCCAATAAATGGTGTTCAAGTCTTACCACCAGAAGCAGTTTTTATTCAGTTTGAAAGTAGCGATGGGGAGAAAGAAAATTGAAGTTGAATGATTTATTAACAAGCTATTTTAGACTTATAAATGGTTCACTTTATATGGTGAATTTACTATCTATGTACTATCTTTCTATTTATTTTTCATACATTTGAAGGACATTTAAATCCACAAATTATTCATTCTCCCCCCTCCCCCCATGGAGAATATAAAGCATTTTTTCAAAAAAAATGTACTTCCTACTGTTATTTTGAAATTTCTACATTGTTAAAAAAATCTTTTTTATGACGACATTGCAAACAAGGCGTTATAATTGATGTTCAACCTGACGGAAAACGTTATAGAAATACACTTGTTGAAATAACTATTGGGGACTGTGATCGGAGATCGGTGGTTTATCTGTAAGTTTACCAGACTTTGTTATATTGTATTCTTTACATGATTAAAGGCTTATATTTTTTAAAAATACATGAGTTTGATATTTCTTTTAGGGTGTATATATTAACAACGTTAAGAAAATTATATTGCGTCAGACGTTAGTTTTCATTGCCGAAAGTTTGTGTATGCAACTTATTTATATCTTCCTTTACAAATATTCCGATTTAGTATAGAAGTAAAAATATTCTACCCATCACGTAAAAAACATAAAGTTTTAGGCAGTAACTATACGGACTTAAACAATTCTATAGCATTAGAGTGTTTTTTTTTGCTGCGTTTTTAATCACAATTAAACTTTCATACATACAGAATCTCGACAGTGTTATATTTAACGTTTTCACGATGCTTTAGCTTTGTTAGCGTGTATACTTTCTCTTCTTCATGACAATTTTATGAACTACGTTGGCGGAAGTGGACACGCAAGCAAGTTGTATTATGATAAATATAATTCTTGAGAAAAATGTTCTTGGTGTTTATCTAAATTAATGTTTTCATTTATGATATGTATATAAACCATTTTGCATTGATACTTTAAATATTGTCATTCGTGAACATTTTCATGAAATGATTTAACAAGAAACGATTGCTTGTCTTCGATTAGCTCATCGTACAACTGAAAATGTCGAAAATGTCTTGTTCTATGTCAGATACTTGTGTATGTCAAACATTATTCTGTATATCAAACATTATCTGGATTTTGCAACATTTAAATTAAATTAGTCCCTTCAAGTTTGCATTCCATTACCTATATGCGGGGGAGGGGAGCCCATAGTTTCAGTCTACTCTATGTTTTAAAGAGTAGCAATATTCCTATACTCTTTGTGAACGTCAAGTAAATTACAAATATTACAACTATTGAGGATTATCGATGATTGACTTCATATATACGTTAATGTTTGAAAAACGAAAGAAATAAAAGTTACCGGTTCATTAAATGCATCATGCTAAGCAAAACAAGAATGATGAGAATATTAAAATGACTTGTTCTCTCGCAGTCGGATATGAATGCAATATGAATACGATATGAATAATTTATGTTTTTATTATATTGCAACGCTGCTTTCAACAGATTTTACACTGTCTTAAAGCTTTTGTTTGAGGTAAATTGATTTAATCTTTATCTCTAACATCTGCATTCTTCAAAAATTATTATTTTCCTGTCCAAGTAAAAACAAGTTTCTTTTACTGCTGGGATAATGACGATATTGAAAATCATATTTATCGTTCAAATGATCATGATATTTTTAAATTTTTGTTAAGTTCGATTGTTTTCATAAAGTTGGCAAGTCTTTGAACAAGCATGGTTTGTTGAAAATGTTGTTAAGTGTGTATTGTTTTTATACACTTACAGGAAAATTTTGCTGTCTAAAGTTGGCAATTTTTAAACTAGCATGGTTTATTGAAAAAAAACAAAGATTGACATTTACTAATTCATATGTTTTCGTGTAAAAGTCTTGCTATCATATACAAAATTTAAATTTTTTAACATTAAAATGGTACTGTTCATTTTGATATCTTTTAAGGCCAATATTTCTATCTTGAAGACAGACGGGTTACAAAGTTTAATGATGTTTTAAAACCTAGCTTTTTTTCTTTGTAATACCTAGTTCACATTTCTCCAGTTTTCCTGTGAACGCAAATAAATGAATGTTTGTTCGTTCACAGAATTAAAGACTCGACATTTTCATTCCATTCTGTAACTCCACAAACTCGGGAAATTCAGAAATGGATACGAAAGACTCGAGCAGAATGGATACGAAAGACTCGAAAGATTCAGAAATGATCGTCAAGGACTCGGGAATTTCGGAAATTGGCACCAAAGACTCGGACGTTTTAGTAATTGGCACCAAGGACTCGGGAATTTTAGAAATTGGCACCAAAGACTCGGGAATTTCAGAAATTGTCACAAAGGGCTCGGGAATTTCGGAAAATAGCGCCAAAGACTCGGAAGTTTTAGTAATTGGCACCAAGGACTCGGGAATTTTAGAAATTGGCACCAAAGACTCGGGAATTTCAAAAGGTAACGCAAAAGCACCCTAATATTTACTTTTTTAGATAAATTATATTGCCGACACTTCACGACACTATTTATTCGTGTGTCATAGATAGTGACGTAAAATGAACATTCTTTGGTCGATAGTCTGTAAACGATGTTCATTTCATGATAAGATTTACCTAACTGAAACCAAAATTATTTTCAATGTACATTCATGTGCTACATTTTATTTTGTTTTGTACCATGCTTTTCGTTTAAATTGATTTTACCACATGCAGTTTCCTGTTATCCCAGTTTATTTGTCTCTACAGTTTTAAATAAAGTCACAGTAGTCATAAATATTTTTACGCTCCATTTTTTATAATTTTAGTCAAAGAACTCAGAATACGATATGACTAATTTATGTTTGTATTAATTATCTTTCCTGTTAATTTGTCATAAATTTTTCTGAAAATGAAATAATCATAAATTACTTATTGAACCTGTCATGTGTAAGTAAGAAATGACTGGGTTTTTTTCTTCAAATTCACATGGTCTTACTTTTCTATGCTGCTTGCAAGTAAGTACTAAAACAATACTCAGGGTCGCCGGAACGGCAAAAGGGCAGGAGGGGCAAGCATTTGTGCAAGGGCACATTAGTGAAATATACTAAAAATAATCTAATAGTGATAAACAGCAAAGAGATGTGCTACATGCAATACACTGTACAGAAGCACATGTCCGCAGTGTTGGTCGATAAATATTAACGATAATATAACTATCAAACGATGTAACGTCACTAATTTACAATTTGTCATGTATTGTATTTTCCAAAACATTTAATTCTTCTTTCATTTCTCTGTGAAAACTCTTTGGCAATTACGTCTATTTCCACCATATCCATGTGTTTCTTCTGAATGTTGGAGAACATAATATCATTCAGATGATTTCCTTCAGTGTTTGACCGCAGTCATGTTTTGAGACGACGCATTACGCGGAATGTGCGTTCGCACGAGGCAGATGAGAGTGGCACTGTGCACAGTGTATTACATGTAGTATAGTATAATTAGTTTGTGGATCTCTGAGCACCTTTTCTTTGCTGACGGCATGGCATTGAATATCTCTGCTATTGTTGAAATACGCGTGACTTCTGTTGTTTTTTTCTTCTGATCCGCGTTTTAAAGCCCAAGAATGGTGGGAAGATCATCAAGCTGCATTCTTAGAGCATTTTTATCAATCAAAGAATTGCTTAATCCATCTAAAGATACTCCTCTTTCTTTCATAGAGTTAAGTAACAGTTTCTCGATACATTTGATCTGGAAAAGATCGTCTTGTTCAAATCACGATCCTAGACCTGAGATGATTGCATCAATGGCTTGGTAGTACGAGCTTCGCATTGGTGTTATATTCGCACTGTTGTAAACTGAGGCATCTGTGACATCTTCTGAAAGAATGTTTTATGCAGTGCGGTGTTTGAAATTGAATGAAGATATGATTTTCGCACTTTTGCTGGACAATTTAAGCAATTGTCTCACGAACCTGAAAAATTCAAATGACTCAACGGAATTCGAACCCATGACCTCTGCCGTGCCGGTGCAGTGCTCTGACTAACTGAGCTATGAAGTCACACAGTGGTGAGTAGGTAAATTACTTCATTATTCATCCATCTTGGAACTTTTCTTAGGCTAGTGCCAGTGCCAAAATTTTCACTAAATTCTAGTGGAAACGACATCAAAACGCGAAAAACGTTCTTAGCGTCATCAAGTGTACGCTCAAACTCTTCTTCGCTTCTCATCTCATGAAGACGTTGCAGGACATGTCTTATTGAAAATAGAGCGTACTCAGCTGAAATATCAACCGCTTGGAGCTCTTTAGAAAGCTTCTCGAGTAAAGCCAATAGCTTTCTTGTGGCGTTTAAATTAAAGATGACGATTAAGAAAGACAGTTGTCGCCTTAATGTTCCTCTAATCTTTGCTTTTGTGTCTGCCGAAATGCTAGGATCTTCCTGCAATTTTTCAAGGGTTGCATGTAGTTCAGCCGATTTCTCGAAGATGACGTCAGCAGCCTTTACTCTTGCTGTCCATCTCGTTGTAGAAAGACTTTGGAGTGGTAGAACTTTGTAATCGTTTGTTCCTGTTTCGTTTCAAAATCTGCCTGTATTTCCTCGAACAATAAAATACGTTTTGGATGGGCACCTACGATTGCATACAGGGATTGGCATAAATCCAGTGATGTAGACAATAAATTAGATTGCTTAGCTGCATCCTGTATAATAAGTTCATTGCAGTGACTGAAACAATGAACATAAATTGCGTTTGGTGCAATATCTTCCTTGAGCTTTCTTCCCAGGGATTTCATTGCTGAAGCCCCATCAAAGCCCATAGCTGCCATTATGTTACCTTCCATGCTATATCTGAGAAGGATATCTTTGGTGTAGTGCAGTAATGCATCAGATGAAAGTCCTTGCAAACATTCATAAATTCCAACAAAATCTTCCGATACTTCGTAATTATCATCACAGGTCCTTGCAGAGAAAGACAACTGTTCTTTCTTAGATACGTCTGATGATTCGTCAGCTAGAATTGAAAATGATTCCTTCACTAGAATTTTATCAATCAAATGTCTTCGAGCATTTAATACAATCATCTGTTTCTGCTCGTCCAGGATGTCGTGTGCAGTTACGTATCGGTTCTCGTCAAGTAAAAGTTTTAGTGCCTTGTCGTTAATAGCTTTATCAAGATTGAACTGATGAATATTAGATTCAAAATCCGTTCTACCTCTAATCGCTATACCTTGGCGTAAGAGGGTTTTTAATGTTTGAAGATGTGAAATTAACCCTTTCCGTCTTAACTGCTGTGTTTCAAGAGCAAGCGAACTGCAGGCTATGCTAATAGACAATTGCCCTTTGTCTAATGTGGCACAAGCTTCTTTATGAGCGTAACTGTTTTCATGTTCGTTGAATTTCTCACAGCCTTTTTCCCAGTTATCAAATCCAACTTCATAACTGCCAAACACTCCCTTTATCTTAAGTGAGTAGAACAATTTCGCAAAAAGCCTTATTTTTTTCTCGATTGTACACTAGCCACTCATAATTACGTAACCAATGACCTTGGAAATATCGACCATGCTTCACACTACTTTCCTTGTCTTCGCTTGTAAAGTCTTTCTCATGTTTTACCCATCTCGTTTTAATGCATATCTTTTCTGTTTTACCAATCAGACTTTTCGACTTAGACCATTTTTGTGACTCACAGTCTGAGGCTTTTTCAGTATTGACAGTTATTACAGTGTCAATTCCGCTTGTTGAAGCAGAATCAAAATCATGGCCTGTGTTTCCTTTTGCAAACAGCGATGTTATTTTTGATTGACCCGGCTTAGCAGCTGCTTTCGCTAATGCTTTGGCTGAATCTATTTTACATCTTTCTGCTCTTGGCATTGCAGAAAAAGCGATAAGATGCAAGAAATATCCTTTTCAAAGTCATCAGTGTTTAGGTGGCTGAGCTATTTATGCCAGCAGATGTTTACCATTAAAAATATCTTTGCTATACGTCATGCTCCTGGCACTTTTTTGGATTTAATAATGATGAACATTTAAAAAAGGACGTTTCACGGTTGTCGAGGAATCCGCTCCTCGCCTGGTTCACTAAAACTCTTCGTTTTGAACCTTTTTTTTTACAAGCCAAATAATCTACAAGTATATCACCTGAGTATTCTTACGCTATCTATTAGAGTTAATTATTTACATGTTATTTATACTATCGGTAATTACATAAATCGAGCTTTCCTTTACGTCATTAGCATTACTCACTCTTTCATTGCGTTTCAAGTTCTCACGCGTTGCAACAAAAAAGAAGAACTAACTAAACAAACAAAGAACTTACAAAACGTACTTAAAACAAAGAAATGTTAAAGTGAAACTAACATAGCTACGACAATTTTATTGCTAAGCTCAAAAGAATGCAATATCCCACAACGGTTAAGTAGTCTTTATCTTGGATTAAAAACAATAAATTTTCAACCTGTTGGGCACTTTTGCCCCCCCCCTGCCCATCTCCAGAAAAGGCAAGGGGGGCCGTTGCCCCCTTTACCCCAGTTCCGGCGTCCCTGACAATACTTATGACAAATGTTTTTGAGCAATTTTCTCTAAATGAGTCAAACTGTCACCATAAAACGTAAAAATGTGCATAATATTATTTTCATTGTAATAAAGTAAATGGTTTGAGCCCGGGAGTATCGTTACATGTTTGTAAATGTAGATTGTCCAGGTTGGTATAGTCCTGAGAAGGACTGTTTTTGTTGTTGTTGACTGACGTTTCGACAACCTTAGTGGTAGTCATCTTCAGAGTCAAGCATCAGTCATGGTTTGCTCTGTTTCATGTTATTTGTTGTAATTGTGTTTCTTTTCCTGTAAACAATGAAATACACATAGTGCATGCATGTTGTCCAAAATCAATCTGGGTGTTTTTATGCACTTGCAGTGTTCCCTTAGTAAATACCTTTAAACAAAAGCAAAGCAACTAGAAGTTATTATATCATCCGACACTGTACATACATGTAATATAATCACTATATTGAAAACAAATTACGTTTTTTTACATTCACGCAACTAAAATACGATTGGTGCGTTGAAGTTTTATTTTGTACTTCTCTCTCAACTTGTTTACCCAGAAAAAATTCAAATATTCGAGTTTATTCTTTGGTAAAAGATTAAAATTTTACAATTTTAAGTTTGCGATAACCGGAGGACAGTTTGACGATAGTATTACTAAATTGGAGAAGTGTTTGTTAATTATATGAAATTTTTATGTGTCTATATAGTCTTGCTTTTTCATTAATAAGATAGTCAACTTGACCTATCTTATGTAATTGTGAAAATAATATTTATTGTTCTTTCTACTTTCGTTCTTCTATGTTATAAAGAATATATCGTTTGCTAGCATGCCTATTTTCTATAGAAAAACATGCCTATTTTTCATAGAGAAATGTTTCGTAATTGTGATTAAAAAGGCAAAAACTTAAAAACTAATTATTTTTACATAGTTGAGTTTTAAAAACCAACTATTTTTATTCTTAAATTAATGCACTTTGAATCAGTCAACATGTCATTTGTAATCGTAATTAAAGTATCTTATTGTTTGTTTTTTTAATGCAAAAGAGATCTGCGAGAAGGAAAGGCCACATTGTGAAGGTTGGTATATGGATGCAGCATACTTATAATAGATACAGTTGTTTAATGTTGTTATTTTATTCATCTTGTTGAATCTAGTATTATAATATTTTTGAACTTTTGAGACATGTAGAAACTAAAGTTTATTCTTTGCAAAGTGTTTAAAATTTAACAATTTTTATTTTTTGATAACCTGGGAACAATTTGAGGAGAGTATAGTCATCCTATATATTCGTTAATATCGATAATGTTTATGGTTGCTTATGCATTTTTTTTACGAATTTGGAGAAAAGTTAAATAATTTTATGAAGTTTGGAAAGGTTTGTTTAAACGATAAGCCTCGTCAACATCTATTGCCATATTTAAAAGAAGGCAACTATAAAAAGTATTTTTTGCGTCTTTTTCACGAGCTTTCTCTTCTAGTGCACAAAATCGTTAGGTCGACTTAGTTTTATGTGTTTTATGCATGCTGTCAAGACGTTTATTATTTCATTATTTCTCATTTGGGGTAAAGTTGGTCTTTTTGGCAGCCTTATAACATTTCTTTATTTCAAATAACTCTTGCAACCATGCATTCTTAGATACCAAGTTGGTTGAACAACTTGAAGAACTCAATGGAAAAAAAAGTGAAGACATAAATGACGATATGGATCTTGACGGTAAATATAATTCTTGCTTTGTCATTCTTAATTCATAAATCTTAGGCTTGTAGGAGAGTAAGAATTAAACATAAGCAAAATGATGTGCTAAGACGAAAAGAAGAGCTGATTTGTTTGTCTGAAACGATATGATTAAATATGTAGTCATTGAATTAGGAAATTCCATTAAACACCAAAAAGCAGTTTTATTTTTGATGATTTGGCTGAATGATGGTTCCGTGACAATATGCAAGAGACGCCTCCAAGCTGATAAATTTTTTTCTATGAATTAAAATTTTGTTCTGAGTTAGTATAGCAACTTTTTAACGTGAATAGTCTTTATTCAGTGCTGTACGTGATGAATTATGTCCTTGCAATCAATGTTGTGATTTGTCATTCGATGATGTTCGGGAATATGGTTGGTGTTATAAAACGTGTTTTAGATAGTTATTCTCGTGGTGTAGAGCGTCTGTTGAATCACAAACGAGCTGTGCACTTATTTCTAATGTTCCATTTGTGGTGGTTTTCTGTCATATAGGATTGTAACATGGTGGTCTAGCGTGTGCTGATTTGTTGTATTTACCGTCGCGTTTAGCGTTACTTACAGTACAATGGTAAACACTACAAGCAGTTACACAGAACAGCAATAAACTCACCTGTCTCTGTTGTAGTTGTTATAAAATTTTCATGTAAACTGTAAAGGAAAGGGTGCGCTCACTACCTACCAATACGTACTACTTTTTTGATTCAACTTGGTAGACGATATAATCACTAAATTAGTAAAATTTTATCGTTGTTTTTCTGAAAGTTGTTTTGTTAAGAATTTATTTTTTTACTTTTTTACATATACATCGAATTTAGTATTTTTGAAAGATGGATTGGATATGGAAGAGGAAGAAGATGTTGCTCAAAGTCAAAATATGGATTCTTTCGATCAATCATCAATACAAAGCAGAGCGGGCGGATTTGTGCGCAATGATGATGATATGAATAGATTTCGCCGTTTTTTGGTTTTTGGAAATTATACTCCCACCTTCTACATTGAGGAAAGAAAGTTAGGCGTGGAAGATGCGCCAATTGTTTCCAATCTTTTGGAAGCAGGAAGGGGTGTTGAAGTTGTCAATGAAATAGAGAAGTATAGCATTGAAGGACGAACACCTAGGCAGCAGGCCATTGTGTTTTCTCTAGCTGTTTGTGCGCGGAAGGGAGATCGTGCCACGAAAATAAAAGCATGCGATGCTTTACACAAGATCTGTCAATTTCCGACTCATTTGTTTATGTTTATTGAATTCTGCAATGTGTTTAGTCAGCCTCACAAAGATTGGGGTCGTGCCCTTAGGAATGCAATAAAACTCTGGTACAAAAAAAAAGACCCGTGGAAACTGGCCATGGATCTCACCAAATATCAAAAGCGTGAAGGATGGTCGCATAGAGATGTTGCAAGGTTAATGCATCTCAAGCCAGAAGGAACTGATGTTTCTGATGAGTTGTTTGTTATAATGAAGTATGTTGTTCATGGTTGGAAGGAGCTTTTTGAATATTTCTTTCCAGAAGATAAGACAACTCCACGTCGTCCAATTGGAGAAAATGGCAGTGCAATGTTGGTGTTTTTTAGAGCAGTTGAAGAAGTGAAAACATTGCGAGAGGAGGCAAAAGTGGTTGAACTGATAAATCAACATAATCTTGTTCGAGAACATATTCCAACACATTGGCTTAAGTCCAAAAAGGTACAAACATTTCATTAATTTTATTTTTGCATTTCTGAACATGTAATCATCGCAGTGTTAACTTACTGGACTAATTTATAAATTTAGCTGAGAGTTTTTTCTTTTCAAATTGAATGTATAGAACAAACCTTTTTATTGCAAACATGTTTAGGCCATCTTATGCCATCGTCAGTGCGAACAAATTAAATGAGCTATGTTACATAAATGTTGTATACTATACATGAAATTCGATAAGTTATTTACAGACAATAGAGATAAGTGTAGAGTTACAATTATTTACAAGTAATTAATATATAAAAAGCGGATAATACGTGAAGTGAATGAACATTGAATATAAAATATATTTACAAACTAAAAAAGATGTTAACACGGTGAACCTGCTTATTAAGTTCAAATTTGAGCTTCTTTAATTTTAATAGTGGAAGAGAAATTGTCAGCGCGAAGAACTGTAAAACAGGCGTCGTCATAATGTAATTTGAAATTAGGTGAGGATAGGAACTTAGGAAGTGTTTCAAGATGTGTGAATTTTTGACGATAGAAGTGTGTTCTTTAATCCTGGAAGAAATCTGACGCATTGTTTCGCATTATACACATCATTAATTTTTTTTAAGTTTGCTTTCCTAACTTCTAAACTCATTGCTTATGTTAGTGATAATCATCATGTTGGACCCTTTGTTTGTGCTACAACTGTGGTATTCCATCAGTTTACTTAAATTAAATTTATAAATTGGAAGTTCATTATACAAGCATTGCGAAGTTTCTAAATCAATAATTGATAAGCTGTAATTTATTTGGCAAAATACAGGATATTTTACAAGCTATAAATTCGAAACGCTTGTTGTTCTAACTCTTAAACACTTGTTTCTAGGTGTGGGATGCTCTGTTAAGGAAAATGCCAATGACTGCAATAATACGCAACTTAAACAAAATGACTTCCATTGGCTTGCTTGCTGAAGGATCATCTCAGGTTGAAGATGTTTGTGAAAAACTGTGCAATGAGGATCTGTTAAAAAATGCACACATCCATCCGTTGACTATGTTATTTGCTTGGAGAACATACAAGTCAGGAAAGGGTGAGAAAGGTTCTCTTAAATGGAAAGCTAATGTGCAAATTACCAAAGCATTGGAGAAAGCATTTTATTTATCATTTAAGGTAGACAGTGTAGAAAAACTTTTTTCCACAAAAAAGCAATCAAGTGGCATTATATTGTTTGTATTTTTATATTTTCAATGTTGTTTTGTACAAATTTAGAATGTCGAATCAACAGGAAAAAGGTACATACTAGCCATTGATGTACGTGGATCAGTGCGTAGCAAAGGATGTATTGGTGCAAGCTCAATGAGACCTGATGTTTTTAGTGCTGCAATGTCCCTAATAACAGCACAAACAGAAAACCATTACATATATGTTACACTTGGACAAAAAACATTTCCGATAAATATATCTAGAAACATGAATTTGGATGAAGTTTTAAATATTTATAATGAAGTAAGTTGTTCAAAACACTTAAATTCTTGAAATTTTACCTGTGCATATCAATTCTCAATTTGCTATAATTGTCATTAGGGAACTTTGTCTTTCGTTTTTTTTAGTACTCAGAAATGTTTTAGAAAGCATTTTAAAATGTAATTTTTACATAAGAGGTGCTTAATCATTTTTGGTTAATGGATGATTTTGTTTATGATAGTTGTGTACAAACGCAACACCCTAAAAAATATGTATGTTTATGGGTTTCAAGAGATTCCTGTACTATGTTGTGTTAGTGTAAATTTTTATGTTGTATTTTTCAGGTTCCAATGGAGGAAACAGACTGTGCTCAACCCATGCTTTATGCCATTGACAACAATTTAAAGATTGATGTTTTTATCGCTTACACAAATTCTGAAACACATTACGGTGATGTTCATCCAAGGGAGGCTCTCAAAAAATATCGTCACCATTCAGGGATTCATGATGCTAAACTTATTGTGGTTGCCATGACATCGAATGACGTCGCTATTGCTGACCCAGATGATCCTGGAATGCTTGATATAGCTGGCTTTGACTCTGCTGCACCACAAGTGATGAGAGAGTTTATCTTGGGGAATTTTTAGAAGTTTTTAGTAAACATCTCTGTATTTTCTCCATAACGAATGTCCTCATTAAGATATGACAAAAATTCATAATCTTTGATGGCTCAAGTTGAATGTTGCATGTGGTCGTCAAAGTTGCTTCGCGCATGTTTGCGGGCATGAATTTTGTAAAGGTCAATCGCCCTGTTATGGCATTTTCCCTAAAAAAAACTTTAGAAAAACACGGGAAAACTAAAAGCAGGATAGCCAACAGTCTGGAGTAAATTACGTGTTCTATTCATCTCTACAATGAACTTCGTTATTTGTACAAAGTCAATTTGTCAATTTATCCATATTTCTCATGCCTCGCTTTACAAAAAACAATTTTCGCAATTATTCGCAAGTTATCAGTTATTTAATGACAAGCTTTTCGTCGTGAGAAAAGAATTTTTATCAGATTATATTTATTTTGATGGCTATTGAAACTACAAATTAAACATAAATGCAGTAAACCAAGTCATTAATCTCATTATTTTGGTCAACAACAACTCGCTCGTAATGTAACTCGTCTTTGCGTGTTGTCAATCACATTTTCCCCTAATTTTTGATCGTTTAGCTCTACAAAAAAAATGGCTCAGGAGTCGGGAAGCTATGTACGTTCGGAAACTTCCAATTTTTAGATTGTGAGCATTTTATAAGATTTGATAAAAAATTGAATACCTGGTTTATACAGATGTGCTAACTTTTCAATGAGGGTGACATGATGCAATTAAACAAAAAAAAATCGAATCAAATATCAAAAAATTTATTACACTAGCTTAACTATTGTGAATTACCACAAAGTTAGCATGGCACACACACAACTTTCCAAAACCCCTGCGGTTGAATGTATTGTTTTATATGCAAGTGTTTATTATATATTTCTGGGCTTGTTTGATTGTTGTACCGACAGAAAATCCCAGAAGAAAAGAGGTGTCTGCTCGAAATATCAAGGTGTATGTAAGAACCAAACCTAGTCAATGATATGAGCCTGAGAGTATTTTCCAAAATTGTTGTTGTGAATCGATTTAATGCCTTTTGTTCATGTTTTGTACTCAAACTTTCTAGACTAAGTTATTGGTTGAAAGAACGATTGTTTGCAATGCATTCAGCGGCTTTACCAGTCAATGTTATGCTTTTAAACATAAAAATATAACAACCATCGCCAGCAAGACTTCACTAAAGTGCATCCGTTATCAAAGAAAGGGTTGTCCAATAATGATGTGGATATTATGTACATTGTCATTGCTTAGAAAAAAGATTTTCAGCATTTTGGTATAAATCATATTGTATGATGCAAATGACCAGCTTTCGAAATTTGAACAGCTAGCGCACTGCAGGGCGTTCGTAGCGAGTAGAATGAGACTTATTTATTAGACTCAGGATTTGAACAAAGTTATTTTCTGGAATGCAGTCTATGTTTAAGGTTTCAGCAAGTTTGTAGATTCCGGGGACTTTGTAGCATGTGCATAAAAAACTGAAGAAAGTCACGGTCCATTCCTATCTGGAAATACGTTTTTCTAAACAGAATTAAAATCGACTAAAACAGAACATCACTCCTAGTACCTTGTGCATAGTATTTCATCTGTTGTTATATTTTATAACTGTTTGGGACTCTTCCAATTCATTGACTTGTTATCAATTAGAATCATGGGTTGAGACGAAAATCTTCACTACCATAATTAAAGATAAGTTAGGCAAGCCAGCTGGTAAAGGCCGTTGAGTCTTCAGTGGTCTGGGGACAAGTAATATAATTACATGAATCTTAATTTTTTTAAATGGAAACATCGCTTTTAAATGTTGTTTAAATGTTGGCAATAATATAAATAAATATTTACGAAATGAACTCACATGAAAATAGTTTTATAACCATTAAGCTAGTTAAGTAAAGGAGAAATACATTTTTATAGGTTTTATTATCTGTGGATTTTACAATGATTCACAGTTTGTTTATCATCAACCATTCAGGGTGAGTCGGTAGTGACAGTATGTATTGGTTTTATATTTGTTTTCTCTCAAAGCTCTTCTGTTGGTTTTGTACGTATCAGCTTGTGATTATTGTGAGAAGTACTTTACAATTATTTGAATGAGGTAAAATGAGACAAGTTTCAGTAAGATATTAAAGGAAAGCTTGAACAATGTCAGAAGCCAGTGAAGGTAGATTATGAGAAGTATCATGTGACAGGATTAATACCCAGGAAAAATAAAGAATGTCATAAAAATCGTGAGATATTACCTGATATCTGTAATTTCAATAGTGTTGAAGTCAGTTAGATGATTTTATTTTGATGATTTCAGCTTCCTCAATTGTTTAGTTATCACAACTTTACACCAAATGGGTTACTGTGAGTCACTAGGTCATATGATGTTTTTCATGTACATTTAGGGATATATTTCTGGAAAAACATTGGAGAAGTGTTTTGGGACGCTCTGTTTGTGATTATTTCTTCGAAGCTCAAGGAAAGGTAAATGAATATATTTGTAAATTGTTGTTTGTGCTTGTTTGGTTGAGAAGTTTTAAGGTACTTTCATGAAGGGTTTTCATGTCATATTTGTCTGACAAAAATGCTCTTAAACAAATTAAATATCATCTTTTATGTTCAGGCTACTTCTCCAGAAGACATTCCTCCTGTAATTGCAACAGGATTCAGTTATCTCATCAGTAAATTTTGCCATGATCTCTTCTTTGTTTCTGTTGTTGAAAATGAAGGTTTGTGTTTATATTAAGGTTAGTTAATGTTTTATTAATGTTTATTTTGAATCAATTGCCTCTAATCCAATCAAGACATTGATTGCTAGTTTTAATTTAAAAAGTATGCATTACATTGCAAAGAAGTGTTATCACTCAATAAAAGGCATTGCATTAGGCATTCCTAGTGGTAGATAAAAATAATTTAGCCTTCATAACATCAACATGTGGTGAACACTTTCATGATTATTATTATTGATGAATTGAAAACATTCCTTTCCAGTTCCACCTTTGTTTGTGATTGAATTTCTTCATCGAGTGGTTGACTTGATCAAAGAATATTTCTCTGACTGTACTGAAACAATCATTAAAGAAAATTCTGTCATTGTATATGAGGTTTGAGATTAGTATATTTTGTAGAGAATCCAGCTGTTTGATAGATGAATTTCAATTTTTATTGTTGTGTGTGATGTAAAATATGATATTATATCTTTATGTTCTTCAGTTATTGGAAGAGATGTTGGATAATGGATTCCCTCTTGCTACAGAGTCAAATGTCCTTAAAGAATTGATAAGACCTCCTAGTATAGTTAGAAATGTTGTTAATAAAGTGACTGGAGACAGCAAGTAAGAACCTTACTTATGGTAAACATACAAGCCATGTTTTTATGTAGTGATCTATATGTTGTTTGTATAAGGATCAGATATAAATATAAAGCAAATCCATAAAACGAATTTCTGTATTTGCGTTGTTTTTTATATGCAACTTACTACAATATTTAGTTAAATTTGTTTTAGTTTACACATTTATGATCATTCTACATATATTTTAAGTTAAATATTTCATATTTTCCTAGTATGAGCAGTCATCTCCCAACTGGTCAATTGTCCAATGTTCCATGGAGGAGAACTGGTGTAAAATATGCAAATAATGAGGTATGTAGATATATTCACATTGTTCCATTAAGAAATTTAAAAAGAAAATCCGTTTTTATGCTTTTTTTAGTTGTAATGTGATGAGTGAACTTTTTTCTTTATGAATTAGTTGTAATAAATATTGCTAATTAGTTGTTAGTTCTAATTATTCATAATTAGTTCCAATTAATTCTAATTTTATTTATGTTATAGATTTATTTTGATGTAGCCGAAAGCATTGATGCCATCATTGATAAACAGGTAACAACATTATAATATTGTGGATTTCTTGTTCCCTTTGTGGAAGATGTATGACAAAAATATGTTTGTTGTTTTTGTTTGATGTTAAATTAAAACTAATGACATGTACGAACTGAAAACTTATGGCATGTTTAAATTCCTAAAATTTTCTGTTTTGTGTAGGGCTCCATCATATTTTCAGAAATACAAGGAACTGTAAGTGCCTTCTTTGTTTATACTTTGTTATATGTACTGTCTAGTATAAAATTTTAAAGGTTTTTTCACCTTTTTTCAACTTTGTTCTTTCAGATTGACTGCAACTGTAAATTATCTGGCATGCCTTGTATATTTATGATACTTTATTATATCTCTAGATTAAAATTGAATTTATCTGTAGATTAAAGATTTCTATTGATTATAGATCTCAACATGTGTTTTACAAATCCTCGTATCCTTGTCAGTTTTTATCCTTGTCTTTGCTTCAGAAGATGGGAGGTATGTAAGTGTGAATGTTGAATATGGATTGTCTCTGGTGAAAGTCAACACAAATTATTCTTAATATGACTAATAACAATTTTCTTTTTACATTGAACACTTTTCTTTCAATCTTGCACTAAAACCGCGTTCAAATATCTGTGTATTTTAGTCTGAACGAATTTTGTCATTCGTCCCCCCGGATGGTCGTTTTCGTTTAATATCATATAACGTGGCAACCGGGTGGGTGTTTTAGCAGTTATATTTTCATGATGAAATTGTCTATTTTGATGGTATTTTTTGTTTTTTTGTTTAGAGTAAATATGCTACCATTGTTTGCAAATCCTCGTGTCTTGTTTCAAGAGGTTTATCAACTGTTGAAATTATTTTAAAATATTTTTTATTGATTGAAATAAATTAAAGTGTTTGATTTTTCTGCGTTTTAATTCGTATGACTGTTCAAAACGTTGATTCGATGATCGTCTTTTACTTGGTTGTTTCAGGGTGGAAGTGGAAGATTTGAATTGTCGATAAGTTCAAAACCAGTTATGGGTAAAAATGTATGTATTTATAATCATGTCAATTTATTAAACTGTTGTTGCATCTTCTTGCATTTATAAACTTAAAGATATAACCTAAACTAGTCCATTTTTTCATACTTATTATCTCAAAGCATTTTGTAGAAAACTAACTACATCGTCCTAACGTCATCATACCAAGTCAAATATTGTATACATTAACTTTTTCAAAGTCTTTTCACTCATTGTTTCCATATTTTATTTAGATCGAGAATGTTGTCGTGACTGTTCCATTTCCTAAACAAGTTCTCAACCTTAACTTGACTACAAACGGTAAAACACTCATAAAATATTAAACATTACAGTCTGATGTTTCATTGCTCTTCATTGACGTTTCCCATCAACATTTATGACTTGTGTTCCATGTTTTCAGTTGGTACCTATTCATTTGATCCAATCAAAAAAGAGCTTTCATGGGAGGTAGGTTCATGAGGAAATTGTCACGATCACGTGGTTATGTGAATCTAACGTTACGTTAAACAATTTAGATCGGTAAAACACAATCTCAGACATCGTCACCTAACATCAAAGGAAATGTAAGTAAAAGGTGTTTTTCTTTTAATTTTTGCCGTCTCAGTTGATTTACAGACGTCTTGCCAAGTTTTTTAAGAAAATATTTTCAAATTTTTTGCAAGATCTCGCTTCACAACATTTTTTGCTCACGAAGTAAAGTAAGGTCGATCTTGCCAGTAACCATTCCTTGGTCACAAAGTAAGGTCGATCTTCACAGGTCGCTATCTCTGTAGTCATATTCTTAAATTGTATTCTCTTTTCTGATAATTGGTACTATCCCCCTTCCACTTTGGTATTTACCTTTAAAGATCTGATTTCCTACCATAATTAAACAACGTGGTGATGTGAGAATCGCTCTGATCTTTTTATGAAACTGCTCTCGTTTCATTTCGTCTTATGTTACTTGTCGTCAAATTCTTGCTGTGTGTTGGTTTTTTGTAGTTTATTGCTTCTTATCATAATCTTTGTTTGTTTTTCTTGTGTTTTTTTTTTATGAAAAGAATTAATGCATATCTTCACAATCTTTTAATTTATTTCCTTTTGTCTAATTTCCAATGTTTATATTTCAGATATCTTTAAAAAGCGATGTTCCACCTTCGTAAGAAACACCAACTGAATTCGTAAGTGTTTTTTTACTGAGTAACGTATATAAAACCAGTTATAATTGGATGATATACTAAAATAATTCCCAAACCAAACGTTCTCTATGATACAAAGTTAACATAACTTCCTTCAGACATGATTTATTTATCAATACTCCTTAATCATAAACATGCAACAGCCTGCAACAGTACCATCATAAATTTGTAGAAACCTGTCTCCCTTTCGCCTTCTTTCATCGGTAGCTTTCTTTTCTTTGGTTAAATTTCAAAATAAATTCATTTGTAGCTTTGGGATTAAAAGTCGGTAGACTGGATGTACATGGGGAGGTAGGGACAGTTTGCATGGTTTGTTGTGTATGTAGGGGTACACTTTGCATGGTTTGTTGTGTATGTAGGGGTACACTTTGCATGGTTTGATGTGTATGTAGGGGTACACTTTGCATGGTTTGTTGTTTATGTAGGAGTACACTTTGCATGGTTTGAGATGTATGTAGGGGTACACTTTGCATGGTTTAATGTGTATGTAAGGTTACACTTTGCATGGTTTGTTTTACAAATTGGTGTTCATTTTAATCTTGACAGATGACTTGAGTCCAACTAATGTTATATGATTTCTGATGTAATTTAATATGTAACTACGTTGCCTTCTCTATAGAACTACAAGCTATGAAAGTAGTCAAGACGCAACAGCTGGACGGCATCAGATAAGAACATAAAATTTTGTTGAGTAAAAGCACAACACAACATTTACGCATGGTTAACAATTCGTGAATCTCCTTCCTAATCCTTGGACAGGACAAATTTTGATTAGCTTTCGAGAAGATGATTCAAGTTATTGTGTATTTTTCAACAGGCATGTATGCATGTTACAGGTCGGGACTTCTTGCATATAATCTCCGCACTAAAAATATATCATCTATTGTGAATGCATTGATAATGTAGCTTTACCGTTGGAGAAAAAAAGAAAAGTTGTGAATGCAATCTTCAACTACATTGTACGTTTAAATTGCGTCAACCCAGCAATACTGTACACGCAAAGAAGTTATGTTATATTGCAGCACGTTATATTCAGAGAAAAATCTCAGTTGAGGCAACTGTGCAGTCACTGTGAGTGCAGTGTACAATGTTAAAAAGGGAACCGTTTTAAATGTAGAAGGGAGGAAAAATCTGACTTGTTAAAGGCATTAATACCAAATTGGAATCAAGCTTTAAATGGTTTGTTTCTACAAGCTGAAAATTTTATACATTTTGCCAAAAAAATTAGTATGGTTTGTTTTTCAGTATTTCTTGGATTCTTGTTATTTTTCTAGTGTTACATGGCTGCGTGAAGCATATGGAGTTGCTGGTCCGAACAAGAAGTTGGCATTCCACTGTTCAACATGGCTTCAATTCTTTCCGTTTTTCTGGTGTTACGTACTTGGGGTGCTTAGAGCGCATGGATTTTCTAGAAAATGTATTTCCTAAACGTATGTAAAGTTTTTGATTTTTGTTCATGATACACTGTGTTCCAGTCGCAAATTGGGTATTGTTTCTAACTTTCTAAGAGATTTTTCCATCAAAAATTTTATCTGCTGTGAACATCTCTAATTATGTTCTTCCTAAAAAGAAATTTCTGTCTGCGGAAACTGATCATTCAATTTATCAACTTGTTGTTTCATCCACAAAAACGCTAAACGATCGTATTTTCCATTACGAGGCAGCTGCATGGCTGTTTTGAATATCGTATGATTTCTACGATGTTTTATTGAATTTTCTAATAAAACATGGTGTTTCATAACACAGTTTGTTTTAGTTTTATAAAATTTGATTGGTAGGATCGACAGTCATTGATTTACCTGCAAACATTTGTACATAATTCATGCTAATTGAGATTTTATCTCATTTATAAGGAAGACATTTTACAGCAAAGTTGCACTATAAAAAGTAAGTTTCATATATAAATTCTAACATCATTGCAGAATGTTTTGAAGATTTTATGAAAAATTCGAAGTACATTAGTGAAACAATAAATTATGATGAGAAAACAAAATACTCACGGTTTTATATCATTTATTTTAACGTGTTTTTCTTGTAAATTTAGTTTGACAAAACGAAAGATACGTGAACTAATTATCTACACTATAGTCACAAAAATATGTTCAAAATGAAAGGACTTAAAATTCGAAAAAGTGTAAAGTTTTTGAAACGTGAGGAAAGCGTCAAATTTTTCCACCAAGTTGCTATGCCACAATCATGTAAACTTTATCATTGGTGGTTTGATTGTTGCTTTATTGCATTTTTGCTCATATTTTTCATTAACTTTAATGTCTTAAAGCTTTAATAATGGTATAGAAATCGTAGTTAACATAAAAATGTGCATTTTTAATCTTTTAACATTATAAGAGAAACTCGTAGCTATTTTTGTGGTGTGTCACAGGCAATATTTACTGTCAGCCAACTTCCAGGTTGATAACTAACCACTGTTGCATACACTTTGTAGTGTGTCACAGGCAATATTTACTGTCAGCCAACTTCCAAGGTTGATAACTAACCACAGTTGCATACACTTTGTGGTGTGTCACAGGCAATATTTACTGTCAGCCAACTTCCAAGGTTGATAACTAACCACAGTTGCATACACTTTGTGGTATGTCACAGGCAGTATTTACTGTGAGCCAACTTCCAAGGTTGATAGCTAACCACAGTTGCATACACTTTGTGGTGTGTCACAGGCAATATGTTACTGTCAGCCAACTTCCAAGGTTGATAACTAACCACAGTTGCATACACTTTGTGGTGTGTCACAGGCAATATTTACTGTCCGGCAACTTCCAAGGTTGATAACTAACCACAGTTGTATACACTTTGTGGTGTGTCACTGGCAATATTTACTGTCAGCCAACTTCCAAGGTTGATAACTAACCACAGTTGCATACACTTTTTTATTTAATTTGAATAATAGGAATTTTTGATCATAGTCTCTTATGGCTAAATTCCGCCCTAAATTTTATCGTCTTTTCTATGATTTATTTTTCAGACAGAAGTAAAAGATGAAGAAATTAAAGTTATTGCAACACTTGAAAACAAGAGAATTACGAGTTTTTCAATCCTGGGTGGGGTGTATTTTTGTCAATATAAAAATTGGAACACATTCGTGTACTTTAATTGAATTTTCATGATCTTCTCCAAACTCTTTGAAGTTCTATGTGAGGAATCCTGCGATGATAAGTATAAAAGTGAACAATTTTATTGAAAAATATAAATACCTACGATAACTATACGGTAATTCCATGAATTGGGAGTTTTGTTGGTTTTTTAACCACAAGTAAGGTTACAGATATCGTTGGGACTAAATCTCGTTGATAACAAGTTTTCAAGATTGTCTATGACGAGTGAAAAGACCTTCATATAGTTATGCGTCACGTGAATTTATTTGTTTAAATGGAGTAGATTTGATGTTTATTTTATTAGCCACTGCTTGGTCTATTGCATTCAATCAGCATATCCAAATTAATAATTTTTCTCGTAATACTTTTTATTTTCTACAGTTATGAAACGTTTAATAATTTGTTAATATACAAGCGTTTACAAAACAATTGCAAGAACGAGTAAGAAAGCATAGAGAAAATGAATGATCATTTATCTTCTATAAGAGCTCACCATGGACTCTTATTGGTTGCGGTTTTCGTATAATGGATCATATGCTAAAATATGGTGAAAAATGCCATAAAGAGAAAGTAAATTCCAGTTGATTGGTTTAGAAAATGAAATATTTATCTTTTCTGATTCGCTGTTTGGACCAAATTTATGGTGATGTATGTGATGAATAACCGACTGTTTTTTGTGTTTCCTCGAATGTATTTGCTTATGACTCACACCAAAGGCATTTACAAAAGCATTCGCGTGTGAAATTTAATCTACGCCCCTTCAAAACTCCTCCAATCTCCGCCACCAAGGGTCGCCAGGTCACTATATCTTGCTGTGATCTTTTCAAATTGAGAAAATTTATGTAGGTATGAGGACTTGCAAAACAAGTCATTCTTTTGTTTTGATGCTTTTAATTCAGACAGTATAAAACGGTGAAGAAGTCAATAGTGTTGAATTACTTGAAGACCGGAGAATTTTTGTAAGTTTGCAGACTTAGTTGTATTGTACTCTCATCAATAGTCAATATTAAAACGGAACGCTTTAAAACGTAAGGTTGAACGGATTTTTTTCATTCATAGAAAATTCATTGTGTCAGAAGTTAAATTTGATCACATAAAGCCTGTGCTTTCTTCCTATTTATATGTCTATTTTCCGAGTACAAATCTTCAGATTATATTTTAACAGGATAATTCTTTTCAACTCACCGGAATCAAAGTAAAATTTAGGCAATAACAATTCAAACTAAAACCATTTCATAATAATTGGTGTATTTTTGTACAGTTTTTATTCTCTAGTCAAAATGCCGATTTTCGATTTCCAAAAAACAAGGCAATAACATAGGTTTTACTTTGTTAACGTGTATTCATCACAAAAGTGGTATGATACACGTGGCTGTAAGAGCACACGCAAGCAAATTTTCTTATGAAAAAGAATATGCTTGGGAATGATTTCAATGCTTAGAGTTATGGGCTGATAAGTTTATTTCATAAAGGTGAAGCACCTTATTGATGAGAATTAGAAGAATCAACCTTTTGAGATAGTTTATCATCAACCAATTATGTATGCTGTATTACTGCAATCTCGAATAGATTAAATGCAACTTTTATCAAATGTATATCTTTTGAAGCTTCCAAAGATTTAATCATGCGCTTTTTCCGTATACTATCTAACTAAGGCCAACGGATTATAAGAATTTGATTCTTAGTGCGTCTTGTGATTCTCTTTTGACACAGATTCATCGCGCTGTAGACCTGAACTTTGGTGTTTATAATAAGTTTGTCATGTAAGTTGCAATTTACAATGATTTGTGACGTGTGGGTACCTCCCTATTTGGAAACTACATACGAATTAAGATTGGACTGCACCGAGGGCTTTGTACGACGAGACATTTTAAAATTTTTTAATCCTGGTCAACCTCATATACTTCTATATTAAAATATTTTGTTGTTTGGTTTTCATTCCTAGAAAAGTCATTTACTACAAATTCATCAATAAAACGCTGAGGATTTTTCAAAGCACGTTTTGGTATTGACGCATCTTTGTTTATGCATGCGCAATTTTGCTCAATTATGTATTAGACACGAGCTAGAGCAAATGTCCCAATTTATATATATTAATCTACGACTATATGTAACTATATGCAAGACAGGTATTCGACATAGTTTAATGGTTCTGATCTGACGAGAACAAAAATGGTAAAGAAATCAATATTTGTGATACCGTTATCTCAAAGATCGCCATATTGATTGTAGATTTTCCAGACTTTGTTGTATTGTTTCCTCTTCGCGTGTTTCAACACCTGTGTATAAAAATACTAGGAAAAAAGATACTCAAAAGAAATCAGACGGAAAGTTTTTAATGCAAAATATTATATTCAATTTCAAGTTGTCGCATCTTGCGTTGTCTTCATATGATAAATAATGTATTGTCTTGATGCGTGACTTTCGTGACTGTGGGAGTGAGGGTTTGCAACGTGCAATTACCGACAAACACGTGGTTGGTATATATATCTTGATGAATACTTTGCATGGCGTTACAAAAGTAAGTCTTTCCAGACTTTTCCTGCGACTGACAAGCTCCATAAAATGGAGCATTTTGCCTACTTTAAACAGCCTTAAAAATGGAGCGATTTGAGAAACTTAAAAACTTTTTTTACTAATACGGTGGAAATCTCTCCTAAATTCAATGTTGCTGAAATGGGCACTTGAATGAATTAATTAACTTACGAAACTTATCGGGGGATGGTAAAACATTCATTATCGAGAATTGATTTAACAAAAATGCCCTATCTTTAACCTATTGGTATATAATACCCTACACACACTATACATACATCTTATCAGACCTCTCATTTGCTTGCAAACTTCCATAAATGAATTTCGTCTATTGTAATTTTGAAACTAAAGAGTGAACTAAATAAAGCTTATAATTTTGCCTTATATAGTTAAACAGTTTAACTTTGATGTTTGTACATAGAAATAAGTACAATAAAGAAAAGTTTGCTGTTCACATGAAGAACACTGAAGAACTTAGATAAATTTTGCGTGACTACTAGAAGAGATCTACCTTCACAGTTCCAGCGTTATACGGATCTTGGAAGAAAGGAATTATTCTATGAATAATGGCGATTATGGAATAGCTATTGAACATTACAATAATTGTGTAAAAGTTGCAGACGAAAATAGCCTGAAAACGATAGCATATTTTGGTCTTGGTAATGCTTACACACTCTCTAATAAAAGGCAGGAAGCAATAAACAGTTTTAATCATTGCCAAGTTTCTTCTAAAAGTTGAAAGTGAATATTTTGAACATCAAGTATATGGCCTGGGAAGTGTTCATTCTACATTGAAAGATTAGAGGAAGCCATAAAGAAAGATGAAATGGAATGTCTTTGCCATATTGCACTGGGAGGATTGAACAAGTCGCTTGGAAATTATGAGAAATCTTTGGAGCATTATAGGAAAGGATTCTGTCTGATTGAAAGTCAAGAGCTGGAAGACGAAGTGCAACGTTTAAAACTGGAAGACAGTGAACAAGAACATCATCATCGAATGCAGCGACAAAAAAATGTCAGAAAAGGTGGTATTAACGTTAGTAAAGATTTTGTCAACTGTAACATGAAGAACTTGTCAATTGTTACTTCAGCTGGAATTGTGAATGGAGTTTTAGCTGTTTATTGGGAATTAGCTGAACTGTTTGATAAACTTGAAGAACGGAGGGATGCAATAGATGTTTATGAAATATATCTTCATATCGTCAACAATGATAAAGATATAGCAAAACAAAAGAACGCTATGGAACGTCTGATACGATTATATGAGGAGGAAGGACGTGATTTGCAAAGGGATTTGATGAAAGAGAAGTTACATGAAGTCGACAAAGTTATAGGTACAAAATGCTATTAATTCAACTTGATTAAGATGCAAAGTTTTGTTTCTAATTGACTAACATTTTAAGTTTTGGGTTAGAATATCTCCTTTGAAATTCACGTAAAACTTGTTCGCCGTGTTCAATGTTTAATATGAATTCAAAGTGGAATACGCACTCTTTGTTAACGTTTATTCAAAGTAGCTAATAACTTCTCGTTTAGTTCCAAAAACTAGTCTTAGTTTTTGTATTTCCATTTTGCAAAACAATACCCTCATGATATGAGTAAAAGACCTGGGTGAGATTTCCCGTGTAAGAGCTTTTTAGAGCCATTCTTATCAGAACTCATTGCTTAAATAAGTGGTCGTAAAATGTTTATTTGTTGTTTTTGTGAGTTTTTTTACAAATTGTATCTGCTATCTGAGTCGTTGGTGCAGTAGGGAAACTCGAGCACTGCTATTCATTTATTATTTGACTATTCAGCTACAACATATTACTCTCTCTATAAATGGAATACTTTTACTTCTATTTCAGAATTACAGCTGCATGAATGGAAATACAATGATACATCGACAAAACATAAAGCATTGTTCTTAAAATTAATTGAGTATGGGAAAGACCCTAATGTTGAGGTTAAACATGTGGACGATGTACGTGTAATTTTCTCAGAAGAGTTTTTACTTGGCAAAGGAAGTGATGGAACCCGTGTTTATCTTGGACTGGGAAAGGATGGTTACGGTAAAGCAGTGAAACGAATTCTTCGTGATAATACTTCTTTGGCACAGCATGAAGAAAAAGTTTTTAATGAATTCAATGCTAAGAAGTCTGATTATGTGCTAAATTATTATTGCTTGAGACAAGATGCAGGATATGTTTATTTCATTCTCGATCTATGTGAAGAAGGAAAGAAGAATCGTTGGAGGTTTTGTGCTATCGAATCAAATAATTTAGATTCTTCAAAACTCCTTCCGACATTTTGAAGCAAATATTGAACGGCTTAGTTTATCTTCACAGCGATCCACGTCCCATTATTCATCGAGATTTGAAACCTTCAATGTTCTCCGAGACACACAAGGCAAGTTCTTGATAGCAATTTTGGTATTAGTCGAATTAGAAGAATGACTCTCAGACACATGTGTTGCGTTGCTAATAGGGGAACTCCGCATTGGATTGCCCCTGAATCTTATATTGAGGATAAAAATTATTTGATAAAGCACGTTACAAAACAAAGTCTGATGCTGTGATAAGGTATTGGGTTGTTACTATTTGCAAATTGTACGTAAATTTAATTTTACATTTTACGTACTCTGTTATCATTTAATTTATTTAGAATGCAGGAATGGTTGCTTACTTTGTTGCAACAAAGGAAAACATCCTTTTGGTACTAAAGTGGCATTCAAATTTGTTGGATGGAAAACCTGTTGGCGAGGAAATCGTGTATCGAACTAAATGATCTTCTTTCATGGATGCTACATATACCCGAACTCAGGCCATCTTAGGAGGCGTTAAAACACCCTTATCTACTATCTGATGAAGAAAGTTTGACTTGCTGTGTGAAGTTGAATCGACCGGAGATAAAGATACAGCATTTAGATCATCCTCTCAGCTCAGATGTCCATGAACAGTTAAATGGTCTCAACTTTGGATGAACCGTCTCATTCATGAATTCGATGATCATTTCAACAAGAAACTCTACGACTCTACATGGTTAGGATGCTTAAGATTCATACAAAACGTTGATCAGCATTGGCATGATGAGCATCGTACAAAACTGTTACCATATATCAAGGGAAGGCAACTATAAAGAGTATTTTGTACGGTTTACCAGAGCTTCCTCTTCTGGTGCACAGAATCATGAGGTTAAATGAATGGATCTTAAGACCTGACATGGAAAAACGTGTTCCTAGTAAGTTACAGCCATAGAAATAATTCTTCAGTTTTAACGATATTGCTAAATTATATGCATTTTCCTTTAGTAACGTCGGAACATAATAGGGTTTTTTACTTGTTGCAAAAGCAATTTTTTCTTGTGAATCATAAAAATAGTCTCTTTCCTTATAATTTCTTTGCATTGTTTGTCCTGAGCACTTGTAGCGCTTTTGTTTCTCCGGTTCAAAAAATGCAATTTATTTTAAGAGGATTTTTGGTCATAACATTTTAACATTCATATACTAAATTTCATATTGTATGTTAATGTGAAAAAGATGTGTGTTTTATCCATTGCAGAATCTATTATAGCAGATCTAGCGTTTGCCAAAATGAATTATAGATGCTCAATTTTAAATTCAAAATATATTCAAACCAAAACTATTGAATTTAAATTTCAAAAAAATTAAACTTTATAAATGGACTTCCCTCTATGTATTTGGAGATGGAAATATATCCAAGCAAGAGCTGCAGCAATTTATTTTGACGTACCCTAGATCCGCCACTGGCTTTATTGAGTTAGAGGTTGGTATGGTCATGCAATGAACTAATCGTGAAACGTCGATTATTGCTCGTGAATTGTATGATGATCAACTCATTTCTACCGGAGTAAATGTTATTTCCATATCAAAGTAAAAATATCCGTGTTTTCTCATCCAGAGAAAAACACAGCAATGTTATATGTTATGTGATATTTCCAAAACAGATAAAACTGTGAATTATTGAATTTGTCAGTCCTTTTTTAATCTTTCCTGATTTGTACTTCTTCTTTAAGTTCAAGAAGTTTTGCGTCAACCATGGAAATGTTTTGATAAATCAATAATGCATCAGAAAAAGTTTAAAAGGATGGAAGAATATGGACGCGAACATCCAGAAGAAGTTAGACTGCTCGGTGAATTGCGTGTAATTTTCAAGGAGGAGTTTTTGCTTGGCAAGGGAAGTGATGGAGCCCGTGTTTACCTTGCCCTGGGAAATAATGGTTATGGAAAAGCAGTAAAGCGAATACACAAAGATAGCGACAAAGACTGTGGAAATCGAGAAAAAGAAATGTTGAATGAGTTTAATGCAAAGCGATCAAATTATGTTGTGAATATTTGGTACTTAGAAGAGAACCCTGACGAAGAGTATTTGTACATGATATTAGATTTGTGTGAAGAATCGTTAGAGAATTATGTGGAATCCTATTCTTTGCAAGATCTTCAAAAAGTCGTTCCTAAAATTCTTATTCATATCTTAAAAAGGTCTAGCTCACCTTCACAGCAATGAGCGTCCTATTCTTCATCGGGATTTAAGACCATCAAACGTTCTTCGAGATGTACAAGGAAACTTTTTAATTACTGACTTCGGTATTAGTTATATTTTATGCGATGGAGCTGTGACACATCAAAGCATGCAGAGAGGAGCTAGATATTGGATAGCTCCAGAGTCATATGACGCATCAGATGATACAATTAATAAAGTTCTTTACAAAAAAGAGTCTGACATTATGGTAAGTTCTTGAAGTAGAACTAGAGGTCCAACTACAGCTCAATGTTTTATTTGCATTTAATTAGATATTGGTATTTGGTAGTGATAATGATTTTACCTCAATTTTTTTCTTTACCTTGATTGTATCGTTATATAATGTCAACCTATTAATTTAAATAAAAAATAAATTAATTTTTGTTAATCGTGTTACAGTTAAAATTGTATGTTCCTTATTTAAATTGCTTTTAATACATAAATATGGATACAATTCTATTTGGAGAACATTTTTTAGATTTTTTAAGCTGCACATTTATTGTTGAGTTCTGCAAATCGCAAATAGATTTAATCTTTAAGGTTTTAGTATCCACCACTGACTGCTTATGACAATTTTTTATTGAAAATAGATTGCCGGAATGGTGGCTTATTATGTTGCAACAGAGGGAAAACATCCTTTTGGACAAAAACGGCAAACACTGGACAACATTTTGAATGGAAACCCTGTTGGCTTGGACGAAATCAAGGATGCCTCGTTCAAAGACCTTTTATCGTGGATGCTACAGTTAAAACCTGAAGACAGGCCATCTGCCAATGAGGCGTTAAAACACCCTTATCTACAATCAGACGAAGAGAAATTTAACATGCTGTGTGATATGGGGAACCAACTGGAGGTGAAACATTCACATGGTCGAAATTCTCCTACTTTAGACGTTCATACGCAGTTGCATGGTTCCACAGAATGGATGAAGCGTATTGATGATGAAGTCGTCAAAGATTTGATCAACTTTGAAGTAAACGACAGTATAAGAACTCTAAAGTACGAGTCTACATGGGCAGGATGCTTAAAATTTCTACGAAACGTTGACCAACATTGGCAAAATGACCCTCTTCCGCATCTATCACAATATATGAAGCAAGGCAATTATAAAGAGTATTTCCTGCAAGTTTTCCCAGAGCTTCCTCTTCTGGTGCACAAAATCATAAGGTCGACTGACTGGAAATCCACTCCAGATCTGGAAGAACACTTTGCTAGTAAGTTAACAATTAAAATATTTCTTTTTCGTCAATGATGTAGTTAATCGATCTCTAAAATCTCTATGTGTAAAAAATACAACCTAGTCAGTCAGTTATTCCGGTTATACCGTCGAAGTGTAAATTTTTTGCGTTTGATTTGTCGCGATATGTTTGTTTATCAGTGCATCAAAGATTGTCATGAGCAAGCTAACTATTTTAAAAATTTTATCTCCGGCATCCTCTTTGACGTTATGAAATGGTTAAAACGCAAATATATTTTTAACATATACTAATATTGATATGGAGATAAACAAGGAGTGAGTGTTTGCAGTGACGGCGAAGCAACATTATGAAGTGCTGGGCTAAGTCTTCACTTCTACTATGGCGTCTAAAAAAACACCTCTAAACAATGAATACTCGCTGAGTTATTTCACTGAAGAGTGAAATAACTCAGCGAGTATTCCTTTTATCTTGCTATGATGTATCAACCGTGTAATGTATTGCATTAATTTCCAGCTTCTTACGAAAAGATATCTTTGCCATCTCCCATGAGTGACAACGACTATGACGACATTGACAAAACTCCTTCTACCTCACTACTTGGGAAAAAAATATCTTGTTAGAAAACATTTTTACATTCCCTTTAAAAGTCAAACACAAACAATTAAGAGTTGTTTATATCATGCGTATCATTCATACGTTTGTAAAGAGTCAGATAAGAGCGTTTTAGAATCGGCATCATACTGTAATGTTATATAATTAGATGAGAATAACAGTGTAGTCACCAGTGGTGTTTCGCCTTCCACATCAAAACCAGGTAAGCAAAAGAATTTTGTTAGCAAACATTTGCCCAAACATTTCCATGTTTTTCAACGCTAAATACAAACAATAATTTATAACCTAATAAATTAATTTTAAAAGGTATCGTTATATGTAACAAACTAAAAGATTTTAATTCAAAAATAATTCAAATGTTGTGTATCAAAATCATGTGAAAATTTTAAACTTTGTAAACATAGAAATTTGATCAGTAGGTATAGAAAGTGAAAACTGGCTATAATGCTAAAAGTAAATTGTGAAAACCATCATGATCAACGTGTCAGCTACATGTATACGTTACACGTACACAAATGAACTTAAATAGAATATTGTTGAAAACATCCTTTTAAAACATTTTATTTGATTATTGATAGCCAATAAAAAGCCAATAATTTTGTTTACGAATACAAAGTTTCATTTAGCGTTTATGTGGTAGCTAGATGCCCTGATGTTGGATCTAAGTTATCCGTTTCCTTTAACTTTTTGTGACAAATAACTATTTCAAGAGATATTTATGATGTGTTATGAAAAAGTAAATTATTAGTTTTACGGAAAAACTTGCAATAAAACCCACGTTGTCGTTTTTCCACCCAAAAGATTAGAAACCACAAAGTAAGGTAGTTCAACTCACTGGTTCAACTCCCTTTTTGCAAACACACGGTATTAGCATAACCATGCTTGTAATATTTGCAAGACCGAATAACAAATAATAAATGGTTACGTAAATGCAAATTCTAAATAAATTATGGCTCGCTGAAAGGTTTAAGGGGGAGTGTTCTACGTCATGGGACCAACTTTATTGTGTGTTTATTGGATCAAATATCCCAAAGTTTTAGTCAGACCGACATTTTTAGTCTTTTTTCCGTTTGTGAACCGACTTTTCATTCATATTTTACAAAAATCTAGGTAGTGTAACATGTGATATACACTTTTATTTTTTTTATCGTGTGTTTAGATGCAGATGATAATTTGGTTGAACATTTTTGGATGAACACAAGCTTTTCAGAAGGTAACCTTAAAAACATTAGGTTCTTTAATTCTCCGAACTCTTTTCACCTTGACAGATGCTTTCATCTTTCAAGTTTCAATCTCAACGTTTCCGCATTTAAAGGGAACTGTACTGCATATTTACAGAATATTTGCATAAGTTCGTTAAAAGTATGCAAAGCCGATGTGGGCAGCAAAAAATTAAAATGCATGCCAAAAAATGTGCTTTATGAAAATGCTCTTTCTGACTTAGATATTGGTTTGAGTCGTTTAAAAAATAAGCGTTGTTTTCAAAATGTCAGCGTTTTGACAGATTGCTATTTTTAACTACTTCCGTTATAATGGTGCAAAAAAATAAATTTTAAAAGGTTTACTCATTCATAAACTGTCACCATTTTACGACGGTGAGATACTCAACTGTGAATCGAATGCAAAACATAAATATAAACTTTGTGCTGAGATTAATGATGGTTATCTTAATGCAGAAAAGAGTGTGGAAGAAGGATACCTTTGTGAATGTTTGTTTATATATCCGTGTTTATAAACCTGCGACATTCTTAATAAATCAAAGCGTTCTCAACTTTCACTGTGTTGCAACTAAAATAATTTTTTGCTATTGCGCTTGCACACGACGATAATAAAATTGCTGTTTTCCAAATTGATTGTACAAACTATATGCTTGTCTACAATAACCTTAAAAATATAATGATAGCTATGTATAAAAATACTTTCATTTGTTTCCACATATTACATCATTACTCATGTGAAGACCAATATCTTGACCAATGGATATTTTCCTTGTAATCAATACAGAAACAAACATGTTGTTATTGAAGAGAAAAATCAATCAAAAATACTTTTTATAATGGAAAATTGTAATTTGTGGTTCTGTAATTTTTATATTTTCTTATATTTATAGTCGGTGTGGTATTATGTTGTGACCAAATCTTAAAAGAAGCCCATACATTAACATTGTTCATAGTTCATGATAAAGAGCCCATGGAATTGTTTTGTTGTGTTATAAATGAAACAAAAAAATGCTCTAGTTTCTTGTCACTATAACCATATGTTTGAATATTATTTTATTATTTATTTTTATAATGCAGAAATGGGAAAACAACGTTTGGAAGGTTGGTATAACGAATTATTTTCAGTTTCGTAAAACATTATGATTAATTTTTTTACTACTCTCAATTGTTCGAGTTGGAAAATGCTGTTTAAATTTTTTCCAATTCTCAGAATTTTTTAATGACTATTAATTAAGAATGAAAAATTCTTTTCTTTGCATGCACAAAAATGTCCGTGTCTGAACGTAAAGTGCAGCATGTCGTAAGCAACCATTTTAACTATTTCTTATTGTTCCCAATTAAAATAAAGAGAGTTATTGAAGGGATCATTGCTTTGTAAACATTTGTAGAGATCATTGAGTAAATTCAATTTACTTTAAGAGAATTGTCGGTCATAACTTTTTAACATTCATATACTAAATTTCATATTGTATGTTAATGTGAAAAAGATGTGTGTTTTATCCATTGCAGAATCTATTATAGCAGATCTAGCGTTTGTCAAAATGAATTATAGATGCTAAATTTAAAATTCAAAATATATTCAAACCAAAACTATTGAATTTCAATTGCAAAAAAATTAAACTTTATCAATAGACTTGCCTCTATGTATTTGGAAATGGAAATATATTCTAGCATGAGCTGCAGAAATTTATTTTGACAAACCCTAGATCCGCCACTGGCTTTATTGAGTTAAAGGTTGGTATAGTCATGCAATGAACTAATCGTGGAACGTCGATTATTACGCGTGAATTGTATGATGACCAACTCATTTCTACCGGAGTAAATGTTATTTCCATATCAAAGTAAAAATATCCGTGTTTTCTCATCCAGAGAAAAACACAGCAATGTTATATGTTATGTCATATTTCCAAAACAGATAAAACTGTGAATTATTGAATTTATCAGTCCTTTTTTAATCGTTCCTTATTTGTACTTCTCCTTTAAGTTCAAGAATTGTTGCGTCAACCATGGAAATGTTTTGATAAATCAACAATGCATCGGGAAGAGTTTAAAAAGATGGAGGAATATGGACGCAAACATCCAGAAAAAGTTACGCTGCTCAGTGAATTGCGTGTAATTTTCAAGGAGGAGTTTTTGCTTGGCAAAGGAAGTGATGGAACCCGTGTTTACCTTGCCCTGGGAAATGATGGTTATGGAAAAGCAGTAAAGCGAATACACAAAGATAGCGGCAAAGAATTTGCAAATCGAGAAAAAGAAATTTTGAATGTGTTGAATGCAGAGCGTTCAAATTATGTTGTGAATTATTGCCATTTAGAAGAGAACCTTGACGAAGAATATTTGTACATGATATTAGATTTGTGTGAAGAATCGTTAGAGAGTTATGTGAAATCTTCTTCTTTGCAAGATCTTCAAAAAGTCGTTCCTAAAGTTCTTATTCAGATCTTAAATGGTATAGTTCACCTTCACAGCGGCCAGCGTCCTATTCTTCATCGGGATTTAAGACCCTCGAACGTTCTTCGAGATGTACAAGGAAATTTTTTAATCGCTGACTTTGGCTTAAGTCATATGTTATCGGATGAAACTTCGACACATCAAAGCATACAAAGAGGAGCTAAAAATTGGATAGCTCCAGAGTCATATGACGCATCAGATGATATAATCAATAAAGTTCGTTACAAAAAAGAGTCTGACATTATGGTAAGTTCTTGAAGTAGAACTAGAGGTCCAACTACAGCTCAATGTTTTATTTGCATTTAATTAAATATTGCTATTTTGCAGTGATAATCATTTTACCTCAATTTTTTTCTGTACCTCGACTGTATCGTCATATAGTGTCAACCTATAAATTTAAATAAAAATAAATTAATTTTTGTTAATCGTGTTACAGTTACAATTGTATGCTCCTTATTTAGATTGCTTTTAATACATATATATGGCTACAATTATATTTGGAGAACATTTTTTAGGTTTTTTTAAGCTGCACATTTATTGTTGAGTTCTGTAAATCGCAAATAAATTTAATCCTTAAGGTTTTAGTATCCACCACTGACTGTTTATGACAATTTTTTATTGAAAATAGAATGCCGGAATGGTGGCTTATTATGTTGCAACAAAGGGGAAACATCCTTTTGGAACTGAACGGTTTTTATTGAACAACATTTTCAAAGGAAACCCTGTTGGCTTAGCTGAAATCAAGGATGCCACGTTCAAAGACCTTTTATCGTGGATGCTACAGTTAAAACCTGAAGACAGGCCATCTGCCAAAGAGGCGTTAAAACACCCTTATCTGCTATCAGACGAAGAGAAATTTAACATGCTGTGTGATATGGGGAACCAACTGGAGGTGAAACATTCACAAGGTCGAAATTCTCCCACTTCAGACGTTCATAAGCAGTTGCATGGTTCCACAGAATGGATGAAGCGTATCGATGATGAAGTCGTCAAAGATTTGATCAACTTTGAAGTAAACGACAGTTTAAGAACTCTAAAGTACGAGTCTACATGGGCAGGATGCTTAAGATTTATACGAAACGTTGACCAACATTGGCAAAATAAGCCTCATCCGCTTCTATCAAAATATATAAAGCAGGGCAATTATAAAAAGTATTTCCTGCAACTTTTTCCTGAACTTCCTCTTCTGGTGCACAAAGTCATTAGGTCTACTCACAAGAAAACTAAACCTGATCACCAGAATAATTAAGAACATCGTGCATTTGTTCAGGATTTGTTTACACTATCTACTCATAAGTTTTATTCTCTCGCTTTTAAATTTAATGACTTTTCATTTAAACATTTTCTCACTTGATACTGAAGTCATATAATTAATTATGTATTATATACAGTAAAAAATTGTAATCTCCGCAAATGGATATGATTACTTAAAATATTTATAATGGGACTGAAAATATTACTAATTCTAATGTATAGTCATGTAGTGGCAACGTATCCCTCGCAATACATGGCATTCATCTTGTTAAATGAATTAAATTTGTATGTTCGTCATTGGTATTTTGTTAAATATATGCATAGCTGCGACTCAAAATTATTTAGATTTTTGAGCGTTGGAGATTTACTTCATGGCAGAATACAGCGAGGGGTTAACAATTGGATAACTCCAGTCATATGATCTATGCAGCATCCAATCATCAATGTATCTTGCTACAAGAAACAGTCTGATGTTATGATAAGTGTTTGTTGTGGACATTTAAATGTAGTTGAATTCTGCAAATAACAAATAAAATCAATTTTTGACGTTTCAGTATCCACCGCCACTAACCTTGTAACTGTTATGATGTTTTTTTTATTGATTTTAGAATGCAGGAATAGTAGCTTTTTACGTTGAAACAAATGGAAAACGTCGTTTTGGACCTAAACGGTTTTTATTTTTTGTAAATGTTTTCAGTATGAAATTGATATTGGCAAATAGTCGAAGTCAATTATTTAAGTAACACTTTATGCAATGAAATTTGTCAAATTTATTCAGTGAAATACAGATGATGTTTCACTTCAGTCCAAAGATTTGAGAATTTTTTGACAAATCTTCCTTTTCCCTTTTGCTTTTGATTATTGGATATATCCAAGCTGTTTGTACACCTGCCACATTTCAACATCATGTCAAAATGCTTTTTTGATAATTCTCCGCTTTCTTTGTAAACGGAAAACACCCATAGATTTGCCATATTCCATTCTACAATAGGAAGATTTTTCGTTCGCAAGCCTGTTATGGTCATTCTCAGTCTTACTCGTGTTACAGTTCATTACCGTTCGCATCAAATTATCTCGAGAGCTATTTAAGATATCGGCAAAATATACACATAGACCGCAGTCCTGTGTTTTTCTACTGTAGAAGCCCAGCCGGGCATTTCTACAAAGTTCACCGACATTTCTTGCTACTCGGAGTGGACTTGGATGAAATCAAAGATGCCACACTAAAACCAGAAGACAAGCCATCTGCAGACGAAGAATGTTATGTATAAAGTTGGAAAAGAGTGATCGATTAAAACAAATGTCTGTGTTAGATAAAATGTAAAATGAATGAAAGCTTGAGCGCTTTCCGACACCCGTGTCATAATTATCAGATATTCAACATGTTGAATAATTTCGGTCAGGAATGAATGCTTCCTCCAAATGTGCGCGCATGAAATGCTATCGCCTCAGCAAATGTAACCTTTTTGCATGCTCTGTCTACGGTAAAATTTGCTTTTCAAAGCAAAATGGCTGCTGCTTATGGTATGTTTGATTCGTCGTCAGGTGTAGAAGATAAAGAAATGTTGCTTTTTCCACTTTTATTGCGGCTACGGCGAAGGCGTTTGAAAGCAGCTAAATCAACTACATGGACAAGGCGTGGGATTTCTGGACGGCCTACACAGGGAGCTACAAATATTGTCCATGAGCTGGATGCTGAAGAGGCTGAGCAGTTTCGGAAGTATCGTAGATTGGATAAAACCGCTTTCGATAAATGAATTTGGTCTTCCAACATTATATCAGCTATCACGCTTTGTGCCGCCATCTTCGTCTAAGGTATAAATGAATTACTTTGCGCATGCGTAAAGTTACATTTGCTGAGGCGATAGTTTTTGATGCGCGCTCACTTGGAGGAAACATTCATTCGTGACCAACATTATTCAACATGATGAATATCTGACAAATATGACACGCCTGCCGGAAAGCGCTCAAAAATACCGCCGAACACTGGAGGAACTTGCTTACACCAAGTGAAGCTTAGCTCAGCCACAGTATAGAGAATATACAGAAGAGCCACTCTATTGAAATTTTTTGTGTTACGCATATCTTACTTCACATGTAATTACCATAGTGGCAGCCAGTCAATTGCAATTTCTGACCAATAGGAATGATGAGATGGTCAACGGCAGCCAGTAAACTAATTTAATATACAGCAGCTAGTTGCGCAGCCATGGATCATTTTCAACCCTGTGCTGAATTGAGATCCGTTATGTGAGTTGAAACTTCAGCTATGTCTTAATACAAATCATTCGCTATATCAAACGCGCTTTTATAAGCCAAATTTTCTACCCTGTGCTGAGTTCAAGCCCGATGCTGAAATTTCAACCCTGCTTTAGCTAATTGGGTTAAAATTGCGGCTCCAATTAGGGGCTGATTACAAAAGCCCGGGTAACCGTGATTCAGCCAAGCATTAAATGATTTTGGAAAATGGAAACGATTCAATACTCATCATCAGATAAATCTTCTCGAGCAATTTCACAACATTTTGATTCAATAACTATACCTGTAACATTTGAAATTAAAACAACCAATTTGGCCTAATTTTAGAATTACAACAGGAACGAATTGCGGCATTTAACAAACAGTTCTAATTTATAACCTTGAAGTTTTGGCCCCTATCAATCCCTCGAAAGAGCAGATCGTGGTGTTGGGCAAAAGTCATTTAAAGAAACGATGTTACATGCATGTGACATACGTAATGATAAATGAGCAGAGCAAGTAAGCACCAGAGTACTAGGGGCAGTTAGTGACCTTTATGATGCCGATGCCAAATACCACTGGGACTGCCGACCAAATTTCATGGCACCACTACAAATATCCAAAGCAAATGCAAAGGAAAGTCAGAATAAAGAAGACGAAGATGAGGCTTTCCAAACTGTTATTAATAAGATAACACCCGATTACTCCCAAGTTTGGAACTCTGTTGAAATTTACAATATGTACATTTCTACAAGTGGAACCCAATTTTCTCGACGTAAACTTTTGGAGAATCTTAACAATGTCCTTCGTAATGATTCGTTAATCCTGTCATCTCCTGGAGTTGCAAGCATGATAGTTTTCGGGAGATAGCTTCACAGTTTCTTAGTCGTCGAGGAAATTGGCAGCGCTGATATAAATGCCATTGCTGAGCGTATCGTTTCAGAGTGTAAGACTCTTAAACCTGAAAATGAAACTTACTACAAGACGTCTGTGGATAAAAACATTGCTGCCGAAAGTACAAGCCCTACGTTGTTGCATCTGTTATCCTATATCTCCATTAAGTTGATTAATACTTAACCTGCAATACTTATTGGCAATATAGTAACTAGCAGATTTTCTAAACGGCCAACTTCCCTTCAAATTTCACGCGATCTTCTTGCGAGAGAGAAATCCCTCATATCGAAGTTGTATGATTTTGGAGTCACTTGCTCATATGATGAAATTTTGAGGTTAAAAACCTCTGCTGCGGTGGCAGCATTAGACAATTGTAAAGTGATGAGGATTTAAAATGCTTCCCCATATTTTGTCCAGGTGATGGCTGATAATTTTGATGCCAACATTTCATCCCAGAATTGCCAGCTCCTGCAATTCTGCCGACACAGACGAAATCCCCTGATCAAAGCATTAGTGCACAGAATATCTACCGTCTCAATAAACAAGAAATGAAAGATAGCATATCACGCGACATTCAAATTCAAAATTATCATGGCCCCATTATTTCAAATTCGACAATGCCCGAATATTCTGGATCTAACACAAACATGGCGCGTGAACAAGGTCAAACATTGAATCCTGCAACTATAGTTGTGTTTCGATCCCTGATTAACAATATTCCCTCAAACCCAAAAACGATGATGACTGCTATGGTCGAAGCAAAAAAACTTGTTATGCAAACTGGCCAGGATTACACAGCGTTTTTCTTGTGATCAGCAAATATATCGAGTAATGGTAAACATACTTTTGGCGTATCCGCATATGTTCGAGAAATTCATCCGAGACATTGAGGAATGCATATGTTTATGGGCTTTGTTGGATGCTCTGGATCACTGATGTTTGATACGGGTTTTAAAGAGATCCTTCAAGCGGCTTTTGCAGGTGTTAACCGTAAGCGTTCTGGTAAACGATTTCCTCAGAATGTCCGGGCTCTGCGAATGCTTGCAAAGGAAATTTACAAAATGTTATGAAAGATATCCAGTGCTCTGAGCACTTGACATTGCATTGGAAGATAAGGCTGAGAAAAGAACGACAACGAAAATTTTCGTAGAAAATTTCATTAAACCAGTGTTCATCATGATGATGTTTGTTCGGGCAGAGAAAGAGGGTGACTGGCCTTTACATCTTGGAGCAGTGGAGGCAATGATGCCCTACTTTTTGCGGCTGGGCATTTCAACCACGCAAAATATGGTTTATATTATTTGTGCTCAATGGAGCGTCTTCCGGCAGAACTTAGAGATATATTTATGAAAGGGAAGCATGTAATACGCCATAAGCCTGGTTTATGGAATGGAATTTGGTCGGATATATTTATCGAAACAACGTTTATGCGTTATGGTAATGGTCAGGTGGCTGCATTGTTAAAACTTTGAACCTTTCAGCAATATCTCGTTGGGAATTTAGTCTTCATATTGCAGTGATTTGATTAAATGCGCATCTGAAATGAAAGATGAAGAATCATCATCAAACGATGTAGCTACCCATAACGAAGAAATGCCAGCACGTATATTTTCAGATGCAAAAGATCAAGAGAAATTGAGAGTAAGCTGCAATTATGTATTGATCCACTAAATCCAGAAAGCCATTGTGAGAGTTTATTTAATATCATAACTGGCGAAATTGCTCCAGAATTCGTCAAGATAGATAAAGCTGTGCGTCTTGGAAAGAATCAAAAATATTCCATAAATGTTCCATTACGATTCGTGTGTGTTTATCATATATGAGTCACAAGATATCATTATACTTTAAAAATCTAGATATGACTGTTCTATGTCAAAAACAATGACCTTATTTTTAAAATACGGTGAAAGATCAGGAAATAAATGTAAAAAGAAGTCATAAAAACAGATATGACTGAAAGAGTACATTTAAGCAGTATTAAAATAAATGTTTTTGTTATCGGGTTAAATTACAGTAATTTAGAAAATGTTCATATGGCCCTTAACAAAATCACCACAAAACCCGACAATCAATCGTTCGCAGCATTTTTTTTTCAGTCATTGGAAATGTTCAAAAACAGCCAAATAATAAAATTTTAGATTCCAAACCTCTTAGTTTTATAAAATCTTTGTAACTCATTTTGTATCTACATTTCTACAACATAGCATGCCAGTATCAGTATGTATTATTTTCATAATTTATTTAAACATGTGCTAAAAAGTAGAGGTGAGACAGTTTGGATGGCTGAAATCTAGAAATAGAATGTGTCAGCCAATATATGAGCTCGTAAATTCGATTTTCACCAAGGGTGCCAAGTTGACACTCTTAAAATTATGAATTTTATATTTTGTAAAGATACAAGAAATGCAAAACCTGCTTGGAGTCCTTTACAGCAACGTTCTGCCTT